ATATGTGATATATCATTATGTATCATTATCAGTTATCATGCCCCTGTCGCTGGAAAGATAGGGAACAATTCGCTACTGCGCACACGATCATATTTCCGGGTGATTTACGTCCCAAACCAAAGGTCTGGGGTGATGCACCGACCAAGTATAAACGACCATAGCTTTGTAGTTCTGACAGCATATACGTAAAGAGTTGCTCAATCTGTTTACCCAGCAACAGAGAAATCGAGTCATCTACATATATTTAATTAGGCCCGAGCGCTGGTTAAGAATCCGAAAGCTTGAGGCCCAGGGTCCCTCAAATTCTTATTTTTAAATGCAGGCAAATTTAAACCACCATAGGCCGAGGGTCCCTCAAATTCTTAAGGCATTCTTAGTTATGTATTGCATGCATCTGCACAATTTGGCGCAAGCTTAAACGAGGTAAGGAGGTGGAGTTGGCAGATTTGACAAGATGCATGCGAAAAAATGAATTTTGAGAGCCTGAAAAAGTGTTTTTTGCAAAGCCGGGCTTGCCTGAGTTTCATGAGAGCAGCGCGGAGAAAAAAAACACTTTTTTTCAGAGCCTGAAACATTTTTTTTTGCAAAGCCAGGCTTGTCTGAATTTCATAAGCTTAGCGTGCAAAAAACATTTTTTTAGAGTATGATTTTTTTTTTTGCAAAGCCGAGCTTCTCTGAGTTTCATGAGAGCAGTGTGGAAAAAAGTTTCTAGAGCCTGAAAAGTTGTTGTTTTTTTCCAAGCCTCAGTTTTCTTCAAGTTATAGCAGAAAACAATGTTTCAGGCCCCCGAGTCTACCCACATAGTCATTTTTTCTGGATTGGAAGTAATCCAAATATGCGCGAAAATCAATCGGAGCTTGAAAAAATGTTTTTCTGCAGAGCCCTACTTCAGCTAAGTTTCTTGGCTGTTCCAGCTAATTTTGTTTTGATTGCCTTAAAGTTGGAAAAGCAGCCAGAGACCGCATAGCTCAGTCAACAGCGCGGCGGGCTAAGGCGCAGAGGTCGCAGGCTCGATTCCGGGCGCGGCTCTTTTCGCCAAGTTTTTGGGTAAACAATGTTCCAGGTCCGATTGGAAGCAGTCCAAGCACGCGCGAAAAAAACATTTTTCGGAGCTTGAAAAATTGATTTTCTGCAAAGTTTCAGTTTTCTTCAAGTTGTTAGGGAAAACAATGTTCCAGGACGTCTATCCACATCGATTCTGCGTGGATTGGCAGCAGTCCAAGCATGTGCGAAAAAACGATTTTTCGTAGCTTGAAAAATTGTTTTTCTGCAAAGCCCGATTTCATCCCATACGACCATAAGGGGTCACGCCACACAAAAAATGAACCACAAAGGGGAATTGCGAACCTCACGTATAAGCAGTAATTTAAGAATTTGGCAATCCTATTGCAGGGTCCCTCAAGTTCTTAAAGTACTATGTGTTTGGTATAGCTGAAAATATGTAGCCCGCCTTGGATTCGAGCTCCTCAAGTTCTTATACAGTGAATTCTTGTACAATACTCAAGCTGTATATATATATATATACACACACCGCATCTAATATATATATATACATATATATACATGCATGCAAGCATGCAAACATGCATACATACATACACATTTACATTTACATATATACATATATATATATACATATACATCTACAGATACATTTAAAATCAAATATACATATACATTTACATGTACATATACATATACATGTACACAGATATACATACACATACATACATACATACATACACATACACATACACATACACATACACATACATATTTATATATTTGCATACATACATACGTACGTACGTACGTACGTACGTACGTACGTACATACATACATACATACATATATCTACATATATCTACATATATCTACATATATCTACATATATCTACATATATTTAACATATAATATAGACTATTTAACATATATATAACCACCGTATAAATTTGCTGTCACACGGTTTTGCGCCGAGGCAATCCTCCCTGGTGAGTCAATGGCGACTCGTGGAGCGCAGTGAACACGAGATCCACGGCGTGGCTTTGGTGAAAACTGCATGGTTTTTTTCCGGGTTTACCACATTTTTTGATGAGAAGATATAGAGTACATCCCAAATATATTTATATATATATATAGACACGCCATACTATATATATATATAACATTGTGTGTATATATGTATACCATAGCATATTTGGATAGCTATGGCGACCTGTAGGCCTCTATGGGATCAACGCCGCTTCTGGCGTCAAACGATTCGAGAATGGTGGGGGTGAACATAGGAAAAACTGGTGATTTATGGTGACTAAATGAAAAAACCTAGGAAAAAATTGTGATTTATGGTGATTAAATGAAAAAAACATGGGAAACATGGTGAAAACTGGTGAGTTCACCAACAAAAATGTGGATTTAATGTGATTTGTATGGATATATATATATATAGCTGATTTGTGATAGCTAAGTTGGTGCAAATAAGTTGGTTAGCAAAGGCTCAGTGCTGTTTCCGTTAAGCATGCCGATGTAAACAAGAGGCTCAGTGGTTTCACGATGAGCTCTACACATTGCAGTGGCCATGATCTGACCACTGCTGGTTGAGTTGGAACATAATTCCAATTTCACACTGGTTTATGGTACAAAAATAACTCTAGTTATTGGGGCGAATGTAAACCAACTTATAACGTTTGGGGGCCCCACATTGGGATGATCGTCGAAAGAACCATGGTCGAAAGAACCATGGTCTTGCACATGGTGAGACTACTCTTGAACTTGCTGTGCAGGGCAACCTAGCTGAAATGGCTGTTCCATGATCCGAAGATGCCGGCAGATTTTGTGACTGGTGTTGGACACTGGAGCCTTGACTCTGCAGGTCTTCTTGGACGTGTAACGTTGGCATTTTTCAGCAGAATGTATATGCGAAAGAAATGGCAATGTTTGTTCTTTTCCTTTTCCACAAGTCGTAAGAGTTTAAAACACAGGCCAATGGTTGGGGGATACAACTATCGTTCATGGTGGTTATGAAAACCAAGTTATAACTGTTGGGAGGGGGGGCCTCACCTTGTGGTCTTTAGCCATTTGATGAGAACTATTCTATACTACATCCTATTGGAAATGCGTTGGCCAAGGTTCGCTGTTCAGAAATTGTAAAAAGTTGGTATGACCAATTCTGGTTGGTGGTTTCAAACATGTTTTATTTTCCATAATACATGGAATAACCCTTCCCATTGACTTTCATATTTTTCAGAGGAGTTGAAACCACCAACCAGCTTGTTTGGAACGACTATTCCACTGACCTATTTCTTGGGGGATGGGTTGAAACCAGTGTCCCCAATCAGTGGCAGCAAAAGCTAAGAGTTTTAGTACCTGAAAGGAACGAGAACTAAAGATATGCCCTCCGTTAATCTAACAGATTAAAATCACCATGTTTAAAAAAGGAAGAAAAAATCATCCATAAGTGGACCATGTTCGATAGCAAACTGCCAAATTACCAGATGCTTTAAATCCCACCCGTTTCTGGTCCTGAAGGTTTGCTTTGCTACATTACATTTTGGTTGTTGGCTATTCCTGTCTGTCAGCATAATTCATTATGATTTTGTTTCCTTTCATTCTCATGAACATTTGGAAAATCTTGGAAACTTCCTTTAAATGCTCATCCTATTTACCCTCCGGTAAACAAACACGGCTATGGAAAATGGCCCATTGATAGTTGATTTACCTACTAAAAGTGGTGATTTTCCATAGCTATGTTTGTTTACCAGAGGGTAATAGTCGCTAAAAAACCTCCATTTTGCCACCCATTTTCGATGTCAAGGCGGAGTTGGAGAAACGCTGTGCGGCCTATGTGGCGGAACGCTTGGCCAACAAAGATTTGGCTCCGCCAGGTACGCGGATCAGGCTGAAGGCATCCCAGGCCCCGAAATAGCAGTTAGAAATAGGTGTAACTGGTTATAAATGTGGTTAATGTCAAACCCGGATTAATAAACCATGGTTTATTAATTAGGGGGTACTCCTCCAATAGTCATAATCTGATACCTAAATGGTACCCTCCCAATTAAACAGCCCAGGGGTTTATCAATCCAGGGTTGGCATTATAACTGAATAACTGACTTGCAACTCACTTATGACTGATTTATAACTGGTTTATATGCTTATGAATTCATAATTGCGGTGGTTTCACGAACCTATATTCCGTCCCGACCTGACTTGATGGGGGGGCCTCACCTTGTATGTTCAATGGTAAAATATGGAAAAGGTATGGAATTATCAAATGGTATCATCAAATGATTTGCGGTATTGGAATATGTGACCAATGATTTATCATCTATAAACAGATCATTTCTGTGATATTTCTTCGACCGCCAATCCATGCTACGAAGAGAATCCGTGCTCGCCGCTGGGTGAACTTGGATCAAATCACCTTCGCAGAGCGGCAGAGTGGGCGTCTGGTGGTTTTTTTCCCTCCCCCTCCGAGATGGTGATGGTTCCTATATGTATACGTGCCCTCTGGTAAACAGCCACATAGCGAACTGGAAAATCACCATGCTATTCATAGGTAAATCCACTATTTCTATCGGCCGTTTCCAATAGCTATGTTAAATTACCAAAGGGTATTTTATATAGTGTATGTGCAAATGTATACAGTATGTATATGTATGTTAAAATGCATATGTCATATGTCTATGTATCGCTCCCCCCCTGTGGATGTGGTGAGGGGTGGGGGTGGGGGAGTAACCCCCCATACCATATGGAGGGGCGTGAACACAAGACACGGGAGCATATAAACCTACCATAAATATCCATAAACCCAATCTATTGGAGCTTTTTGAACCAACTTAACGAACTGGGGCACCACCTTAGTGGAAAAGCAGCTGTACAGAGAGGATGATGAAATTCAAAGAGAGGATGCACTCGCACGACGTGGGTACCATCTTCTTTCAGACGGAGGTTTGCTGAGTCAGGACTTGTTGCAACAGTTTCTTCCGATTTTTGATGCATGCGATGAAGGCTGGGAGGCAGCGGTGCAAAGTGGTTTGGCAACTGGAAGAAAACTCCACGGCGGATGTGTTTGCTAGGCGTCACTTATTACAGGAAGACTCTGTGCAGAGATATATCGGCTCCAATGTTCATTAAAAAAATGTGACCACAAAAATAGCGTCATATTTTGAGCAAACCAACTGGTGATGGGTAGTGGGGTGGGTTAGTACATGTAACCTGTTTTCCCCATTTTGATTAGGATATATAAATCTAACCAGCTGAAATCTGTTTTCTTCGAAGGTATCTAAGATTGGACTTCTGGATGTTCAACCTCATGATTCGTCAAAACATGACGTGTATTTCCATAAAATGGGTTGGTCATCAATCGATTTTTAGGGTTTCTATAGATGAACCCATTATAAGATTATATCACATAAGCAACCCATTTAATATAATCCATAGCCATAGGTTAAAGGGAATCCTTATATATATATATATATTACTTTGGGATTCTGATTTTTCATGAGATGGATGGCCTGGATCACCGTAACCCTGGGATTGCGCCACCACCAGCTGCTGGGACTTCTTTGGGCCTTGCCTGGGATCTTGGGTCATGGGGGAAACTCCATAGTCATGGTGCTACCCCAAGCGAGCATTGGATGGTGACTAGTTCATGGAAAATCCATCAATGGATGAGAACTGGGGGTACCCTAAATTTAGGAAACCTCTGTTATCATGATAATCCCATTAATACGTAATCAACCAGCAGTGCTCAAAAAAGAGTTCTAATATGATTGTCATAGATTACGATACCACGGGATTATTCAATATCCGAGAAAAAAACATTGTGGATTATCACAATTCATGATGGGAATCCCTATTCACCAGAGAATACAGAAAAACACAAAAAGAAACCATACTTGTCAGCAGATTTCCTAGCAGATTTTCTGATGCTTTCCCCTCACGGCACAAGTGCCGTGATTCTGGGGATCCATCTCCAGGTGGCCCTTTTTTTGGTAGGTAGATTCGGCCCGGTCATCAATCCATGAGGGGTTTTTTCGAGCCAAGCTCCATGATGTTGGGATTCCCATTGGAATGGATGAATGGATGACCATAAACCATCATATACCCTCTGGTAATTTGTTACATAGCTATTGAAAATGGTGATTTTCCTAGTGGATTTTCCCATTGAAAATGGTGGATCTTTCCAGTTCGCTATGTGGCTGTTTACCAGAGGGTAGTTGAAGGCTGATGTATCCCATGATGTTCCCATTTTATTCCCATAAACCATCATGTTTTGACCCCACATGTGGGGACGACACAGCTTTTTCGCTTCGTCAGGTGAACCCGAGGAGGTTCCAGAGCTTACGAGCAGCTCCAAGATGCCTGTGGATTTGGTGGCCAAGATGATTCAGTGACCTGGCTGTGAAACATTGTGAAACAACTCGTGAAGGCTAAGAGAAGCGGTTGGTTTTATAAGGCGGATATTTATATACTGTATGACATGTACATACATGGATATATATATATATATATACATATATATATATACATATTTACATATCTACATATGTACACATATATATACATATACATATACATGTACATATACATATTTACAAAAATATACATATATACATATATACATATTTACATATATACATATATACATATATACATATATACATATATATATATATATGTATTTACATATATATATATACATATACATATATATATATATACTGGTTGGTGGTTTCAAAGATTTATATTTTCCATAATACATTGGGAATAATCATCCCAACTGACTAATATGTTTCAAGATGGTTAAAACCACCAACCAGTATACATACATACATATTTAGGGGATATCATGGAGAAAAAGTCAAGATTTTGGGGATATCCCGTTTGTGTGCCAGGCTAGGTTTGACAGGAAACTCGGCCAGCTAAAGACCAGGTTTGTCTGAATGGGTTTAATTCACTATTTTTTGAATAATGTGGTTAAAACAATAATAACCACCCATTTTGGAATAGTTGATACCACCTATTTGTGGTGAAATTGGGGATTGTTGCGTTACCAACATTACCCAAAAATCCGCTGGTTTAGATTATGACACTCCACATGTTTATGATAAGATGTTTGTGTATATATATATATATACCCTCTGGCAATTTAACATAACTATGGAAAGATCCACCATTTATAGTGAACTTTCCCATGAAAAATGGTGGATCTTTCCATAGTTATGTTAAATTACCAGAGGGTGTATATATATATATATATACATACAAATATCCACCATTTTTGGACAGATTGGAATGGCTCCATTGCTCCATTCATCTTGGGAAAACTGACTGGTGAATCGTGGGGGGCCATGGGTTGCGAAAAAAATGAAATCGTTGGTGGGTTTCAGCCCGCTTAGGAAGTGGGTTATAGCCTCAATTATAAGTGGATTAACCCTACTTATCCCATTTATAACTGGGGTTATAACCCACTTACGATTCGTGGGATCAGCCACCAAGTAGTGGGTTTCAGTGTGTGTTGTGTTTTTCATCCTGCCTCGAAAGATCTTAGATGGCCGGTTCGGACCACTATTTTGAGACAAAGCTATGATAGTCACAACGTTTCCAGTCACGCATAGTCACGACTGAAAGAGTCCGAAATAGTCCATTCTTTCTACTTGCAGTTCCAGTTATATCATCAACTTATATAACATATAAGCATCATCAACTTATATAACATACAACTATCATCAACTTACATAACCATAGTTATAAAGGTTATATCCCAACGTCTAGTGGCTATTACCATGGTTGCCATGAAGCCATCACCCCTGGCCACCATCTAAAAATCGCCCAAGGGGTGATGAGGAGGACGAGCAAAGTCCTGTGCTCTTAAAGACTTGGGACTTTGGAGGGCAACGCGAATATTACGTTCGGAACCCATGGGGCAAAATGGTTTGGTTTAAGGGAAAAAAACTACAGGTTTTTCCATGATTGTTCCTACCATATATATATATATGTATATGTGGGGTTTTCCTGTAGCTTTTCCTTCAAACCAATGGGAGGGGATGGAATCAAGTTGCGGGCAGCCGGGGAAAAAAGGACGGTCATTTGATGTCTAGGGTGATAGAGTAAGCTGCTTACACTGGATGTGTTGAGGGAATTTTGTGATGTAAAAGCGGTTCAACCAAAGCAGCCATGGCAAGGTGTAGCTTTCTACATCCAAAACGCCAGTGGAGCTCAGGAAATATTAGCCTCTGGACAGATTTCTACAGGTACTGATCCATTTGCTGGCTGGCCATTTGTTTACTTCTAAAATACCGTCAGTGAGGCAGTCCAAGTTTGGATCTTCCATATAATTTATAAGCCAACTATAGATTATAAACGGATATACGCATACATATTTATATATACATATATACATATATATATATATATATACATTACATGATATCTTAATCATATCCTCCATAAGCCCAACGGTTAACATCCAAGGATCGTTCTCATCATCCCCTGCAACATCGTTTCGTCAGTCCGTCAAGTCGCGCCGAAGCTTTGTCCCATGAATTTTCATCGTCCGAAAAGGATGAAAATGGACCCAAAAATGCATGGATTGATACTTAACCAGAACTGGTCGGTGGTTTGGAACATTTCTAGGGCAATCTTACATGGATACCTACTAATCCTTTAGTCTTTTGGTATTAATGGGAATATCTACTAACCAGCAAAGAATTTATTTTTTGCAGGGTATCTAAGATTGGCAATGTTAACCAGAACTGCTTGGTGGTTTGGAACATTTTATATTGTTCCACTTATTGGGAATATTGATCCCAACTGACGAACGCCATCATTGTTCAGAGGGGTGGCGAAAAACCACCAAGCAGATAACATAATAGACATAATATAATTTGACTGACATGATCCAAAGTGGATTGATTCTTAAACATATTTGAATTACCATCTGCTGATGACTAACAGTTTGCCATGGAAAGATCCACCCATTTTCAAGTTCGGTAAGCCATCTTTTTCTATGGGCCATCTATACCATGGCGAACTGTTAGTCATAACCAGAGGGTAACCAATGATGGGGGATTTATAAATCCACAAAAAATATGCCCCGTGATTTCCGCAGTTCCCCGTGATGTGTTTTTTGTCAAAGATGACCATTTGAATGGGTTGACCAACTGAAAATAAATGCTGGGAATAGCTAAGAACTATTGGCACAAACATGTTTTAGCTTACCTGGCTTACCTGAAATAAAGATTGGAACTGTGTGACTGGAAATAGATATGGCAGATATGGATAGTTTGCGAATGGACAACACATCCTGTAGGTAGAAAAGTTCGGTAGAAAATCCTGTAGAAAATCCTGTAGAATCCATCCAAGCTAGATAGAATAGGTAGAAAAGAAGCTGCCGAAAGGTCATGCATCATCTCTTCCTGACGAATCGCGGGTGCCATCCCCAGTTTTTTCCCGCCGATGCATGATGGACGTTTGTTTCTTGGGGATTTAAGGTGAGTTAACCGCGTTTCCAGGAGGAAAATGGAGCTTCAAATAGCAAAAACGTATACAAATGTGGGATTTATAGTTGATTTAGTTGATTATTTGATTGATAGCGAAGTGTGTGTTCACACAACTCCCACAGCTGGGTTTATGGCAACGATAATTCTAGTTGACGGGGTCCAAATGGGTGCGTATCAAACTCGGTCAATACCCACAAATATATCTCCATAACCAAATCATACATTATAAGTCCGGTATGCCTCCCAAATCATTGTCCATAATATCCATTATAACTCCTTATTATACAGTATACCGTACCTTATTATTATGCATTGTATCCATTATTGCCCCCATTATTACCATTTGTTTCCAGTAGTATCCATTATAAATCCCATATACCTCCCATCATTAGTATCCATTATATCATATGATATCCCAGTATAGTCCCACTATGTCACCATAAAATGCTTGATTTACCCCGATGGTACAGCCATTTTGTCTCCATGATCATCCATCTGTTGTAAGTATTCTCATCTACTATTACAAGAAGCCATTATTATATGGATGATAACTTATAAAAAAACAATTACAATATGATTATGCACTATAAATCCAGTATCCATCCACTGTAAATCCATAATCCATGATCTCTCCCATTATCATTATCCATCATTATTCATCATTATCAGTCCATTCAGGACAGGACAAGAGATCCGAAAAAAAAAAAAACGGAAAAACATAATGGTCAAACGAATTGCGGTGCCTTTTGGTATGGTGTTATCCATTTCAAATCCGTTATAAATCCATTCTTGTCATTGACCACATGTAAATCCATTATGTTTTCCACTATCATTATCCATTATTTCCATGATTATCATTATTCCACTATAAATCCATTAGGAATCCAGTATAAATCCATAGAATGCTTGATTTACTCAACCCGCATCATATGATCACCATATTGCTTGATTTGCCCCAAAAATGGAGATCAAATCCATTCCTGGAGAATTTACGCCATATTAATGGTTTTTTGTTTATCTCCATTTATGATAACCATATATTAATGGCTGGAGAATTAATGGTATAGATGGTATATCTCCATTTGATAAACAAAAAACCATTTATGATAACCATATATAACATATATATTAACCATTCCCCCCAAATTCTCCTTCTGAGTTTCTACATCGTGGTCACCCGCCTGGACGCTTGGCGAACGGGTCCTACGGGTCCTTTGGACTCGGGCGACGTACTTCGGGACACCGACAGCGAGGTGCCGCGGTGAGTGAAACACGGGGTTAACCGTGGAAAATGATGAGCATCAACCAGATGCTTGGGAACATGTTTATTATTATGTTTGGGATTTTCGGTTAATCTACCAGTGTATGGTTCACTGTATATATTTATAATACATATATTGGTGGTTTGGAACATGAATTTTATGACTTTCCATATATTGGGAAGAATAATCCCAACTGACGAAGTCACATTTTTGGGTAGGTATACCACCAACCAGTCATGCTGGCATCCCATGACCTCCATAGCGAATTCACTTCAGTTTTCCCAGCGGAGAGAATGGACGGACCACCACCCAACTTCGTGCCTATCACAGCGAGCCGGCGCGGGAGTAACTTCATGACCATTGTTTGGGGGTTTCCTGAAATAGGTCTACCCCAAAATGGATGGTTTATAATGGAAAATCCTTCTATAAATGGAAGATTTGGGGGTACCCCCAGTTTAGGAAACCTCATATATGAGACTGCCGAAGGCTGCGAATCAATCCCTGTGAATCATGCGATTTTGTTCACAAGCAAGTCTCTCAACTTGAAGAAAAGGAGAGCGAACGCGAAGAGGAGCCAAAAGAAGTGATCCCATCTGTATTGTCAACAATTCGATAGGATTTTTGAATGGCTCGGATTCGCAGCTACTCATGTAGTACACCCAATCACCATACCCGTGTTTTGAAAGGCCTGTGAGAAACCCCCATGAACCCCCCATGAAACAACATTTCGAAACATAAAGGTGAGCTTAACTTGGAAATGACGCACGTCATAATTCACATAATATGTTTTAGAAGAACGAAAGGTGAAACGATGTTTTTAGTCATCATTTGCAGGTGTTACCCTCTGGTAAACTAACATAACTATGGAAAATCACCATATTTAATGGGAAAAACCACTATAAATGGCCATTTTCAATAGCTATGTTAGTTTACCAGAGGGTATATTCTCATAGTAGCCCAACACCACCATTTGTGTTGGTTAAACCACCTACATGGCCCAGGACGGAGGGGCGTTCGAACCTCCGCTCGATGCCCTGCCGGGGCTGCCAAGCCCGGGGTGGTGAGTTCGGGGATACTACCCAAACCTCAACAAATAGATAGGTAGAACAGGTAGAATAGGTAGGAATAGGTAGGTACTGTAGGTAGATAGATAGGTAGATAGATAGATAGAGAAAGAAAAAGAGAAAGAGAGAAATAGAGAAATATAGAGAGCGATAGTTTACTTGGATCATCCCACTTAACACCTGGTTGGTAGGCTTCTAAGCCACCGGGAGAAGCCTAGGAATTGGGGACTTACCCTCCATCGTCCTCATATGCTTCACCATGTTGATGAACAACCGCAGCCCCGGTGGAGATTGTTCGCTTGTTAGTACCATTTTATGGCAACTTCTGTGACCTACTTGGACGGCAAATTCTTGGGAAACAGGATTAGTAAGTCGGGATGTTCCCTTTTTGTATGTTGGGAAACAGTTGTCCATGCAAACCAGAAAAGAGGTATGTGCATATTCTATATCCCTCCCTGAAGTGACAAAGTTCAACCATCCAGATGAACTTGTGACAATGTCATTATTGAAGAAAGAAGTGGGCAGCAGGAAGAAATCACCACGATACAGATTGGCGTTCAACGGTGTTGAATGGTTTGCCGGTGATTATTATGTGCTGAGAAAAGGGCAAGTTGATGCAACTGCAGCAGCAATTGATTTTAAGCCGCTCACTGCAGGTGAGTTTGCGAGCATGAGATTGTTTCATACTTCCTCAAGCCATTCTGGAGGTAGCAAGACAGCAGATCAGTTGAATCTATCAGGCATTCTTGGGATGCCGCCTAGAACAAAGTTTTCAGGCAAACGTAAGTTGAACGCTTTGCTGACCCGGATGATTTGTGCCACCTGACGACTTGTGCTTCGAGTCTAACCCGCACATGGGATGAGCCGGAGGAGCAGCATGAGGCTCAACGTCCGGATGTTTACATTGGGAATCCATAGAGGACGTTCCATTGCCACGGAAATTAGACTACCAGCACCAAATGGTATCAGCCATAAACATAATTTTGAAACTGATATTCCATGGATTTTCCATATTTTACACGTATTCCATCTGAAAATTTCAAAGGGTATCAACCCAAACATCTGTGATAGTCCATTTTGTAATCTCTTACTGCTTGATCAACCACATCGGTTTTTCACTGCATTGCAGATCGGGGACTTGGAGAGTCATCCCAGTTAGAAGTGCCTCGTGACTTGGAGTCCCTTACGTGGGATTGTGCCACACATATACAGTAATATACACGATTTTTAACGGCGTATCATCTAGAACCATCACAATTACCAATGTAATAGCCATATTATATCCCAGTTATGTTTAGGAGACAAAATCAGTACATAGCTTATTGACCCTTACGATGCCTCGCACCAAGTCGTGGGAATACGAAGCAATGCCTTACTACCCTCGGGTAGTCAAACGTGGTCGCGAAATCCATCACCGATGGGCATAAAGAATGGCGTGAATAGAATCATTCTCTTACTATGCGCTGCTATAACTGGCTGGTGTTTTGGAACCTTTTTTTATTTTTCCATATATTTGGAATAATAATTCCAACTGACTAATATTTTTCAGAGGGGTGGAAACCACCAACCAGATAATCACTATCCTTAAAAATAGTATACCCATGAATTTATGAGTGTCATAGATTCACCCAATAGATATGTAATGATAGTTGTTCACCATAGCTATTCACCCAGTGAAACTATGGGGTGAATAGATAATTTGATTTAATCATAGATAACGAACCTATGGATTTTCATCTATCATTAACCGTAGTTACCATCTATATAACAGATAATCATCGATAGGTCACCATAGTTATCATCTATTACCCTCTGGTAAACCAACATAACTATGGAAAATGACCATTTATAGTTGAATTACATATTAAAATGGTGATTTTCCAAAGTTAAATTACCATAGTTATCATTGTTATCATCTATTAACCATAGTTATCATCTATTATCCATTATGAACCATAGTTCTCATATTAATCATAGATGTTTCACCCCTTGGTTATCCCATCAACTTCGGCTTCCAGGACCTTTTGGCTCTCCTCTATCCACGTCCATGCACCGGATGTGCCTTGAGATGTCGATGGGGAGTTGGGGCAACCAAAATGGGAAGTTTTCGGAGAACTATCCCCAAATATATGGTTTTTTTTCGTTTAATCTACCAGTGTATGATTCACTGTATATTATATATATATACTGGTTGGTGGTTTGGAACATGATTTTGATGACTTTCCATATATTGGGAAGCTCACAATCCCAAGTGACGAACTCATATTTTTCAGAGGGGTGGGTATACCACCAACCAGTAATGTAAATTGGGAGAAGATCCTGGGAATATGGATAAATAGAATCGTAAAATTGTTAGATCTACCACCATGATATTCCCATTTTACCATGAGGAATGCGAGGAATAGATGGCTGGTAGATTCCCAATGGGAATATCGTGGGATAAAAATGGGAATATGATGGGAATACCATGAGATATATCATGGTTACAATGATACTAATGATGGGAATATATATATATATAATGAGAATATAATGGTATATATAATGGGAATATAATGGTATAAAACAGTTGATGAGATTTTTAAGATATGGGGGACTGAGGTGGCACCTGAAAATGGGAAACCTGAAAAAAAATAGAGTGGAGAAACAGCTACGGCTTATATATATATATACATAATTATATACTGGTTGGTGGTTTGGAACATGTTTATTTTTCCATATATTGGGAATAATAACCCCAACTGACTAATATTGTTCAGAGGGGCTGAAACCGCCAACCAGTATATATATATTTATATATATATACTTACATATATATATATACTTACATATATATATAATATATCTGTCAATCCCGCAATTGAGAAACAAGAAAGGAAGTGTCCTGGATCAGCCCTGGACGCCTGGCATGGCTCCAAGGCACGCAGGGAATCAGAACGACAATTCGGCTGCTGTTTATCCAGGCTTCTACGAAGCGCTGATCAAGGACTTCAAGAAATTCATCCAGAGCTACAAATTTCAACAAGCGCGAGAGATGGATGATGGGCCAACAAAAATCCTTATTTTTTGGATCGTTGAGGTTGCTCATAGACATTCTTAAACTTATCATTTTTCGCTGGTGGCCATTCAAAATCAACCACTGAGTTCGGCGGAACTGCCTCGGTGCTGCAAGGACTTCATGGAATAGATGCCGCACTGTTGGTCCCCTTTGGTTGCTGTTGCTGTTGTTTTTTTTGTTGTCTATGTTGGTTTCTTCGAAAAATAGGGTCCCGTTAGAAATACCCTGGCCATGGACTGAGTCCCATTTGGGAACTATTTGGAAGAAATCGTCACCATTTAATAAAGATTAAGGGGATGGTTTATGATTACTGATTGAGGGGGTGGTTCATGGTGATTATGGGGTTGGTTTATGATTGGCTTTTGGAACTAAAGATTCCAGAAAAATCTGTACAGCCAATCATAAACCATCCCCATAATCACTATGGGTGGTATCGGTGGTATAAATCATCCTCAGTCATGGTAGGTTTATGGCAAGGTTTTATCACATTAGATACCCTCTGGTAAAGTAACTAACATAGCTATGGAAAATGACCATTTATAGTTGATTTTCCCATTGAAAATGGTGGATCTTTCCATTGTTATGTGGCTGTTTATCACATTAGATATCCTCCAAACCGGGCACCGAACTCAAGGCTCTGGTCTTTATTGTGGGCAGCCATGCTGACGTGGTGGCTTGTGGACACGAGGAGACCGAGGCACCAAATGGCACCATGCGTGGTTGATAACCCATATTGGGATACTGGTTGGTGGTTTGGAACATTGGTTTAGTATGGGGTAATGATGGTTAATGATGGTTAATAATCACTGGTATCTATGGTTAATCTATGGTTAATCTATGGTTAATAATTGGAATAACAATATATCTGGTTGGTGGTGACTGGAACCATGGAATTTTGAATGACGTTCCAGAAACAGTTGGGAATTTCCATCCATCCCAACTGACGAACTCACTCCATCATTTTTCAGAGGGGTAGGTTGAAACCACCAACCAGGATATGAAATGGTGATGTAATGGAATATGCATGGCTTATATGTACCCTCTGGTAAACGTTTACAGTTTGCAAACTTGAAGCCATGGCCCAGTCGAAATAGTGGATTTACCCATGAATAGCATGCTGGGTTTTCCATCGTTTTTGGTATGTTTACCAGGCCGGGTAATGTCTATCATGGTGATTTACCCAAAGATCAATGGGATCCCTAAAGTCCTCCGGTGAGTTTCAATCCTAAACCATGGTTCTCATGGAATCTGATGGATGTGGGATACCCATTTCAGGAAACCTCCAATATACTTGGAGTATACCTATTGTACATCTGGCGTAAGATATGACCCACAAATCCTGGGATGCACATCCCGGAGTTATCTCTCACCTGGTTGGTGGTTTGGAACCATGGAATTTGATGTTCCCCAATAGTTGGGATGATGATCCAATCTGACTTTCATATTTTTCAGGGTGGTTGAAACCACCAATTAGTCACTCAATTAACCACAATATTAGATGGCCATTACTTCAGGTGGCCTGCAGTGGCACAGCTTCCGGTGAACTTCTGGGGTGCCAAAACTGGGTCGCAACTTCCGAAGCCAAATCGCCCATGTCCAAGATATCCAGCTGACACCTCCATTGGGAACGATTTTGGTGACTGTGATGTGACTGTGAAACATTGGAAATCATGGGATAATCATGCGATAATCATGGGATAACCATGGGACCGATCATCCCAACTGCAGGATCTGGTCCACCGTATCATCCCAATTGCTTGTCGTGACCGATTTTTAGTAGATGTGATGTGCATCATGAGCAGCGTTCAAATCTTTCCCAAAGTGGGGTGCCTCATCATTCGGTTTGGAAGCCCATCCGGTAGATAGAAATGCACCACAGGAGTTGGCCTTGGTATCAACCACATGACCTACCTTGGGTTGGAAGGAAACTTGTGGTTTCATTTGATTCTAAAATCAAAGAGTTCCTGTAAAGGTTCCCGACCATACCCCCGTTACCTTTGATCCACTCACTCCAGGCTCGTGTTGAAGAAGAGATCGTTTGGAGACCAAGTGGCAGGGGGGTGTTGCCCAATCGTAGACGGTTCCTGTTGTCTTTGTTTCGAAGAATATTCCGAGTAGGCTTAGTTAAGGCCATTGTTAGTGTATATATTTTATATTCCCATTATATAGTTCCATAGTGTCCCATGGTATCCTCATCATATCCCCAAAACATGCTCACATGGTTTAAACCATGCACAAGTACCTTCACACAAGGTGATGCCCCTAATTACTTAGCTGAGTTGGAGTATTTGCCAAGTTGTGGTTCGTGATAAATACATTCATACTTAGTCGGGTTCATAAACCGACTTATACTTGGTGAGCACCACCTTTTTTATGCAGCTAATATCGCTTTGTTACCAGCAACCCAACTCAACCAGCAGTGATGTGACAAGCTGTCTTTATCTTGGGATTTTCACGTCCGAGATGCTCGAACAATTGGTGCCAGGCATTGGCCGTGTTTTTTCCCCACCTGCCAGGTGAGGGTTGTTAGATTTTATGTCAGTTGCCTCCTCGTCCTCCTCCTCCTCCTCCTGCTCCTCCTGCTCCTCCCCCTCCTCCTCCTCCGCCTCCTCCTCCTCGTCCTCCGCCTCCTCGTCCTCGTCCTCCTTGTCGTCCTTGCTCAACTGCGACCCGCGATCCACAGTGTTCCCTGCCGGACCTCAACCACGACCATCCACGCCCAGTGTTCCCTGCCGGACCTCAACCACGACCATCCGCGCCCAGTGTTCCCTGCCGGACCTCAACCACGACCATCCACGCCCAGTGTTCCCTGCCGGACCTCAACCACGAGCCATCCACGCCCAGTGGTCCCTGCCGGACCTCAACCACGACCATCCACGCCCAGTGTTCCCTGCCGGACCTCGACCACGACCATCCACGCCCAATGTTCCCTGCCGGACCTCAACCACGACCATCCTCGCCCAGTGTTCCCTGCCGGACCTCAACCACGACCATCCACGCCCAGTGGTCCCTGCCGGACCTCAACCGCGAGTATCCACGCCAAGTGTTCCCTGCCGGACCTCATGTAGGAAGATATGGGACAAAGAATGCGCAGAAGAAAGTTAGAAAGAATGTCAGAAAGAATGTCAGAAGATATGCCAGAAGATATGCCAGAAGATATGCCAGATAGAATGCCAGATAATATGCCAGAAGATATGCCAGATAGAATGCCAGATAGAATGCCAGAAGATTTGCCAGATAGAATGCCAGAAAATATGCCAGAAGATATGCCAGATAGATATGCCAGAAGATATGCAAGAAGATATGCCAGAAGATATGCCAGAAGATATGTCAGAATATATGCCAGAAGATATGTCAGATAGAATGCCAGAAGATATGTCAGAATATATGCCAGAAGATATGCCAGATAGAATGCCAGAAGATATGTCAGATAGAGTGCCAGAAGATATGCCAGATAGAATGCCAGAAGATTTGCCAGATAGAATGCCAGAAGATATGCCAGAAGATATGCCAGATCATATGCCAGAAGATATGCCAGATAGAATGTCAAATAGAATGTCAGAAGATATGTCAGATAGAATGCCGGAAGATTTGCCAGTAAGAAAATGTATAAATGTCATGGTGGGGATCACACGAAGTAAAGTAATTTTGTTTTCCGGCCAAGGAGATGTATGAAACAGTGACTGGGTGAACCCATAAGGATTCATTGAATGTGAAAAGCACGATGCCATCATATGTTTTTTCGTGAAACAACGACGTGTTGACCAAGAACTCATGCTCTCGACGCGACATTCTCGACGCCTTTTCCCGTTGGGGCGCTGAGCTTGGCTCAAATTTTATGTCTGGACTCTGCAGGTACAAGGTTTTTGCATCTTTCATCCATGGGTCCTGTGAAAAAATCCAGCCATCCAACTCATGGAAGCACAGGAAGTCAATCTGAAGCATGTTTCTTCATGGCCTAAAGCCACCAAAAATCATGTTCATTATTGTTCATCATATTCTAAAGCTAGAAACATTGACAATCATCATAAATCCAGTTGGGTTATAAATCTTTCATTACAATCATCATAAATCTTTCATTTGGCATCGATTGCCTGATTTTGCCATTTGGATGCTTTGAACTCGAAAATCTGGACCAAATCAACTGAATCCACGAAATCAACTGTGCGACCAGCATGTTTCTTCATGATTTTAGGATAAAGCAATTGAATGAAATCCTGATTTACATGAAAATCCGGATATAGATCTGTTGTCAATAAATCAAGAGGAAATATCAATCAACCGTAAATCAAACCATCGAAAATATGTTTGAACCACTAGTTTTTCAATGTAAACGTATGATATGATCAAACCATACTCAGCTTCATGAATTTTCCCAGATGTCCGCGCCGCTGCTTGATCCAAGCACCGAAGGGCGTTAGTCGGCGCCTCAAAGTATGTGTTGATTGGAAAATTACCCTTTGGCAAACTGACAGAACTATGGAAAATCACCACTTTTCATGGGTAAATCAAGTATTTCTATGGACCATTTTCAAGTTTGCAACAAGTTAGACTACGGGAGGCTTGGCAAAAAAAGTTGGCAGGTCAATTCTGGGTCAATTAGAGATATATAAACGGTACAGCAATGCTGGCAAGTTGCGTGTTATGAATGATGGTATAGCTGTTTTTTTGTTGGTATTTACATGATTACATGATTTTTAATGGGTGTTTCTCAAAATCGTATTTGGGTACGCCAGAACCATTGGTTGAATACCAGAATACCAGGATTCCAATAACTTGGATTCAGCAAAAATGCAAAAAGATGTAGAAAACAATACTAAACAACTACAGTTTCCCAAAGAAAATAATCTGCCGATGGTGGACTGTCCATATCCATGTTACTTTCCGGGAGGGTAGAAATGACAGGTTTGATTCGTGAGAAAAGTCAGATTTCAACTGCTTCAAAGAGTGCTGTGAAAGCTACATTTCCATGGCTGCTTGTGTGAATCAATCGAGAAGTGCGGATTCTGTTCTTCCGTTGTTCACCAGAAATCTGTGGATCTACATTCTGCGTCAAGATATGTCTTAAACAAAAGGCATAGCAGTAGCAACAAACTGCGAAATTCCGAGTGTCTTTTTTTATGACATCATTCGAATTTCAGACTACCCTCTGGTTATTTAACATAGCCATGGTATAGATGGTCCATAGAAATAGATTGTTTACCGAACTTGAAAATGGTGATTTTGGCAAACTGTTAGTCATAACCAGATGGTAAATTCATCTCTGATCACTGCTGATTATCAATGGGGTGATCCACTGAGTGATCGCCGACCAGTGAAGCAAGATGGAACGGTTTGAAAGATGTAGCATTCAAGACACCTTGCAGCGTTGCACTTCCTTGGTCTATCCCTTTTTTCGTTGATTATAATGGCATTCCAATCTATATCAGTGTTGAACTACCAATTCACTTGGTGAAGCATTTCAGATACATTTGTTAATCTCGATCCTCAGCTTCTAACTCGTGGTTCAGATCATGAAATATCCTATTATTTGGTACCCATCGACTTGGTATGACTTGGTTTCCCCACATATCCCATATGTTTTTCCCTGTCGACCAGTCAACTGGACCCGTTTGAGTACAGCGAGCAGTTGCCGGATGTGGAGGTCCGGGAGGGAAAGCACAGTCGATAGGTCACCGATAGACAGATGGGGAGATTGACCAGTGAATACTCCGCAGAAAGGAAAACGCATACATGTGCTATATAATGCATATTATATATATATATACTGTGGTGTTTTTATCATAGGTGAATAGTTGTTATATATAGGTATATATATATAGGTATATACACACACATGCATGTACGCAACAGAGAAACAAAAGCATTGGATATTTGGCTAAGCCAACTGGTGATGTTAGTGTAAGACATCTTCATCTTTTGCCACAAGGGATGCATTAATCTCAACAGCTACAGTTAAGGCCCGAAATACCAGCTATAAGTACTAAGAAAACCCCATCAAAATAGAATGTATATATTATCCCATAGAAATAAGCAGTTAGTTCACTAATAGCCATGGCCATTTTTCTGTAAAAATGTGCAGTTCACTGCAATCTGTTGCAACCTGTTTCGGGATGATGCCACCCAGCACTCGTGGCAATTGAATTCATACTTTTTCATACTTTTTCATGGGATTTTTCTGGATTTTTCTTATCATGTGTCTATACTTGTTGTCTATACTTGGTGGCTCATGTGTCTATACTTGGTGGCTCATCCCACTTAGTAAGTGGGTTATAACCGCAATTATAAGTGGATTAACCCTACTTATCCCATTTATAACTGGGGTTATAACCCACTTACTAAGTGGGATGAGCCACCAAGTAGGAGTGATTGTTATGGCCAGGTGCGTTTGTCTGAAAATGGGGGACTCCATGGTACCCCAATATTCACGGGTCGGTCATGGCTTTCCTTACTGCAGTTACCATTTGTGGGAAACAGCCCACTTTCAGAAAGACCCAAGAATCATATTGTCATATATTGTCACTTAGATTATATCCAATTTTAGGCCAGTATAATCCCATTATATCCTAGTGTACCACCATGAAACGGTTGGATTTGATCTCCACTTTCACCATATTGACCAGCAATCATCAGAACTACCAGCGATGTCCCAAGAAATATTCCACAATACCCTCTGGTAAACTAACATAACTATGGAAAATCACCATTTTTCATGGGAAAACTCACTATAAATGGCAATTTTCAATAGCTTTTTATAAACGTTTACCAGAGGGTATTCCCCTATTCCATGAATAGTTCCATCCCCGTAATATGTTTCATACCTTCAGAGTACGCATGCTGGTTTTTGGGGATGAGATCGCATCTTTGGGACCATGCTACTTGGTGGCGAACTACCCATGGCTCGTGGGCTCGTGGGCTCGTGGGTTAGTTCACCCCAGGTTTTTGAGTGGATTAACCCTGCTTATCCCATGTAAATCACTGGGGTGAACTAACCCACAACCACGATTCGTGGGTAGTTCACCACCAAGTATAGCGTGCTATACGTGGAGTACCCTCTGGTAATGACATACAAAAAGCTATTGAAAATGACCATAGAAATAGTGAGTTTTCCCATGGAAAAAATGTGATTTTGGTGATTTTCCATAGTGGCTGTTTACCAGAGGGTCTTTTTCTACTATCATAAAACTTAATGATATTCCTATGATATTCCATGAGTATTCCGACCAAGGTTGACCAGTGTCCAATATTGATAATGCCATTAGAATATTCCGCTTTTTTCTAGCCATATTCCACTGAGAGTACATTAATAGTCCACAATATTCCTCATGGGGTATGGGATTACTCTATTTGCCACCATACATATGTGTCTTATATTCACATCAAAAATTCCCGCTTTTTTTTACCTATCATAGATTTTATATATATTTATACATTCCCGTGATACTATCAATGGAATATGTATATTTATGTATATGTATATGTATATGTATATGTAATATGCGTCTAATTCATTTGACCAGTAAACACATAACATGATCATAATACATGTATATGAATCACGCAACATTGAGATATCTATATAGCTATAATATGCTAATGGATGTCACTAATCATATGTTGATGTATATTAGGATGTTCCCATATATTGTCATTTACCGTACCCCCATGATATTCCCATGAATATTCCATTTACCCTCTGGTAAACAAACAGTTTGCTATTGAAAATGGCCCAGTCGAAATAGTTGATTTACCCATGAATAGCATGCTGAGTTTTCCATTGTTTTTGGTATGTTTACCAGGCCGGGTAACCTGCTTGGTGGCTCATCCCACGAATCGTAAGTGGGTTATAACCACGAATCGTGGTTGTGGGTTATAACCCCAGTGATTTACATGGGATATGTAGGGGTTAATCCACTCAAAAAACGGGGTGTACATCGGATAAGTAGGGGTTAATCCACTTATAATTGGGTAGTTCACTAACCCATTTGAACGAGCCGTGGGTACTTCGCCACGCGTGGCGAAGTTTCACCCAGAAGGCACCTCGCCGCCAGGACCTGGATTCCTGGGAACAGCTCTTACCATTGCATGGCCTGCCACCACTGACGCTCGGAGGATGCCCAGGGTTGTCGCTGAAGGATCTGATCGCTTCAGTCCCCAAAAAAAGTGAGTGACCCTCTGGTTATTTAACAGTTAGCCATGAAAAATCACCATTTTTAATAGGTAAACCATCTATTTTTATAAGGATCCGTGGTTTAACATCTGGTTATTTAACATAGCGAACTGGAAAATCCCTTATAAATGGAGGTTTCTAGCTGGGAAAATCATCTATAAATGGTTCATTTTCCATGGCGAACTGTTAAATAGCCAGAGGGTACTCTCTGGTAAACTAACATAGCGAACTGGAAAATCACCAGGTTTCTGGTTCGGTTGGTGGTTTGGAACATGATTTTTATTGTTCCATTCAATTGGGAATTTCATCATCCCAACTGACGAACTCCATCATTTTTCAGAGGGGTGGGTATACCACCAAGCAGTTTTAATAGGTAAATCAACTATAATGGGCCATTTTCGCTATGTTAGATTACCAGAGGGTATCCCATGTATAAATGGCGTAGAACCCTAGCTAGCCAGGTCCCAAGTCCCTCCAGTAGTTGCAAAAGGGTGTGCCCTATGACCGGAGTGATTCATGATGATACCATGGATAAACCAACCATTTTATGGTGATATAATGAAATACAATAGGATAATGGTGATAATATGATGAACCAGAAGATTTAGGGCTACCCTATTTTTAGACAAACCCAACGTTATTTCACCAAAATTTGGTTTGTCTGAAAATTGGGTATACGCCCAAATATGACTATTTCAATCAAGAAAAACAATGATAAACCACCAATAACAACATAGGAATCCCAATAGTCACCAACGACCAACGGGCGCAGGACGGCTTGACCATCCACAGTACGAGGATCATCTCATTGAGTGAGTGGGTAATTAATGTATTTTTTTGCCAATCATTAATCCCTGTAACGTATCCCCTAAATTCCTAGGCTTATCTCATAGATGAGTTCTTATGCTTATTAACCATTATTCATCATTAATGTCAACCCCGGATTAACAAACCATGGTTTATTAATTTGGGGGGTACTCCTCCAATAGTCATTATTTGATACTTAAATGGTACCCTCCCAATTAAACAGCCTAGGGGTACATTAATCCAGGGCTGACATTATGAAGCTATTCATAAAGCACCATTAATCACTATCACTATCATTAACCACGTCGACAAAGTCGAATGATCCTCCAAGTCTCCCGCTATCTGTAAACCCCACAGACCCGTGTTTCGTGACGCTTAAATGAGTTCTAAGTATATATGGCTAACCATTGTTAAGCATGATTCATCATTATGAAGCAACAATTCCCAATTCCTGGGCCAAAATACCATAAATGAGTAAATCCCAAAGTGTTTTCACCCAGAAATGAGTAAATCCCTAGGCGATTCCATCATTCCCAGGCTTAATCCAAGTGTAATATACCATTAATGACTTCAGTGGGATGATCTTCCTTATATCCCGCCAAGGCCTCGCCGGGACCCCAAGTTCTGGCAAGAATCCTTCACGGGGCTCACAATCCTTGTGGCTATGAGTCTTGGTTAAGGAGAGATGGGATATGGGTATATCTATGGGATATATATATATATACATATGGCTATGTATGTATGTATATATATATATGTATATATACATAGCCATATATATATATATTGTGGAAATAATATATATATTATGGAAGTACTGTATATATATATATATTATGGAAGTATTGTATATATTATATATATATAGATATATCACAGATATATTGTAGATATATTTATAGATATGTTATCTGTATATGTATATATTTGTATTTTAATATATTATACATATATACACATATATGTTATAATTATATATATACCCTAAATCATTTTGGGAACCCCTACTGACCAAGCAGTTTGTTCATGTATGGATGATCCGTAATGGGATATGAATGGGGATATAATGGGAGATCAACTCCATATCCAATCTGGGTGTGCCTGATCATAGGGGATTGACGCAGATTTATGGTTATTCTCATGGGGAAGCTGATGATTAACGAGTAGATGAGAAGGGCACACGATTTTTTAGCAAATGATCCCTGGAATTGTTTTCATATGATTTCAAGCACTTTCCCAACCAAGAATGGGGATTTTCTTTAAAGAAAAAATATCTTCTATTTTCCTCCCCTGCATTTGCAAGTCTTGGGGTGGTTTCCTGCCGGAATGAAAAAGATTAGGATAAGTTTGTCTGGTTGAAAGCTGATCAAAAAGATGACAAACCAGAAAATTGGATTGATTTTTCAATGACCAACTAGATTTGTTTGGACAACACTGGTCAAGGTTGGATTTTTCAGTTACACCAAAACAGAAACGAGGATAGTCATTGAAAACTATGTTGGAAATTGCCTATGGCTGGTCACTAAATTTCAAGGATGTGATTCACTTAGAATGGCTAAAGAGTAAAGAGGAAGCGTCTCAAGATAGACCCGTTTGATTTGATGTTCACATGCGGCCAGTGGCCAGTGCTGATGGACCTTTCAACACCCCAGATGTGGGGCCCCGAGATGTTTAGGGCGGGCGGCTCATCCCGAACTTTGGGCCTCAAGCCGACGAGATTTGGCGATAAATCTCACTGCTTTCACTCATCGGTTTTAGATCAGTGACTTGATGCTAATAGAAACTATGATACAACTAGTGGGGCCCCCTTAAACCAAAAAATCGCTAGGTGAATAACTCCAATTTCACGAACTGGTTCTGTAGAAAAATAACGAACGAACAAACGTGGGGAAGTCATGGAACCAGCTGTTTTTCTGTAATTAACCGATGTTTTTTTGTACTGGATAGAAATATGAAAGCCATGGAAAATCACCATTTTTAACAGCTTAGTTAATGATGAATAATGGTTAATATTGGTCTCAAGATGGTTAAATCATATGTTTCAAGATGGTTAAAACCACCAACCAGGAAATATGAACATAGTTGATTTTCATTCATATGATCACAATTTCATTAAATGTCATGAATATTATTTCATAATTATGTTCACCATCTTGGGGTACCCCCATTTCTGGAAACCCCCATATGAACATACCCACTGAAAATGATGGTTTCTTGCATCGAAAAATCATCCGACTCAGGATTGTCAGTTTGGTCTCCTCAGCATCTGGGCCTTGATGGCGCAGCTATACGTTTAACGTGAACATTGGTTTATAGTGGTTGAAACCAAAAAAGATACATAATGTCTATGGTTATAGGATGTTATAGGTACTTATGATATTCTGGGGTATTTACTTTTGATGCCAATGGTCTTCAAGCAGTCTTAGTTGGTGATGATCTTAAGGATTGTCGCTATATTATGGGTATCTCTCTGTCTGTTGACCTTACAGATTTTGATGCTTTGGTTATTATCTATATATATTAGCCATCGATACCATAGCAAACTGGTAAGTACCCACAATGTAAGTATAGGTATATCCACCATTCATCAACCATAGTTCTCCAACAAACATTACCCCACCACCTTTAGTAGTGGAGCTGATAAACCAACCAATCAGTCTACGTTGATCATCGTGTTTAACCATCATGCTGAACATCTAAATAGTGAACCATGTCGAAGAAAATTGTTTGCTGTTGAACATAGTATTAAGTGATATTAATTATTGAATGTTGATAATGGATTTTTAATGATTATTGTTAAACAATAGTCACTTAGTCATCATCATGTCGAATCACTATAGCTTTTGGCCATCCTCGTGGGTTTTGGCCAGAACGCCATCCAGGTGCACCTGAACATCGGCTCCCCGCAACACTGGAAGTTCGCGCTGCGTCCTGGACGAATTGTTTCGAAAGTCAAACGACCACCTTTTTTCGGAAAACCATAGGAAAACCATAGGAAAATGGAGGTTTACCCTCTGGTAAACGTGCAAAAAGCTATAGAACATCACCATTTTGAATAGGTAAATCAATTATTTCAATGGGGTGTTTTCAATAGCAAACTGTTAGTCATTACCAGTGATTGACAGTGGTTAATGAATTCATGATGGTTGTTCCATTCTGCTGAGAATAATGATGAATACTGCTTTTCATATTGGTCATGGTCAATAATTGGTTAATGATAGTGGTTAGTGATGGTTAATAACTATTAATAATGAGGAATAGTGGTTAATGTCAACTCCGGATTAATAAATCATTGTTTATTAATTGTGGTGGTACCCTCCAAATAGTCACAATATTATACATAAATGGTATCCCCCCAATTAAACAGCGGTTTGGGGGTTATTAAGTGTTATTAATCCAGGCTTGACATTATAACTGAATAACTGACTTGTAACTCACTTATGACTGATTTATAACTGGTTTATATGCTGACATTAATGATGGTTAATATATTTATAACCCATTCAGATGTATGGGATAACTAAATCGGAAAGAAATTTCTTTGGGAGCATCCCTTAGGAAACAAAGCCAACGAAAAAACTGACCCAAAGTGATCCGCTTTGCCGTAGGATTCCGTAGGATAGTTTTTTTCCTTCCCATGATCCATAAACTGGGAAAAAACATAGTATATAAATATAGATGTAGACAATGTATGCACATATGGGTATGGGTCAATACCTATAGATACATTTTTAGTGGGATGAACATCCATTTACCAACTATTTTGGTGTTCACTAGGTACCAGGGTTTTGACCCATCCCCATATATATATATATAAACAGCTGAATTCCAACATGTGAGCCATGTCCATCAACCCTTCACAGGGTCATGTTTTGCCCAGCTAGGTGGTGTTCTTCAGCTGATCTGGTCATTCAATTCCTGGCTCTGCTCGCATCAAGTTGCCACCTGGCAATTCCACAGGTTACGATATCTAAAAGGTGTGGCGTTGCTTGTCATGTGGATGCGTCTTTGTAAGATGCAGAAAACTTCTCCGCAGTTTCCAATGGCCAGGAGTAGACTGGAGTAGTCCCCCACTTTGAGACACATCCATACTTTGATCGCGAACGCAATGACTTTGGGAGCCATGTGACATAAGCCACAGGGACTACAAATGTGTTTGTACCCGGGGTTAGGAGGCACAGTGTTTGTTTGGATTTTATGATGGCTAAATGGCTGGAAACTACGCCTATTGTCCTGATATGTTTGATATGTGATCTTCATAAATGGTGAAGCCGATTTTTTCTGTTTTCCATTCCTACAAGGTGTTTTCTCCCTGTTTTTGGAGTTGATAAACCCATCCAACTAATCTTATTTTATCAGATGATTTTACGTGATTTTTCGTAAACCCTAAACAGTCAGAAAACTGTCATTTTACATTTTTACTACCCTAAACCTATTCGCGTTTTATTCGTATCCAGCAGAAACCTCCAGGGTTCCGTTCCGAAGAATCCAATGGCCCTTGACAGCCCAAGGTATAGCCATCATCCTCTTTGGAAGGCCGGACCGTGGCCATGGACTCCATGAACTCCATATGGCGCGCATCGTCCTTCAGTCTCAGCTTTCACTGTGTCAGTGTCCATCTCCAATTTGTTTAGAGGTTTGTCCAAAAAAGTCGCCCAAGAATTCCATGCTTTGATGTTTCAAAGCTCATTTTCACCCAACATATCAACATTTGGCCGGCAGATGTGGTGAAGTAAAGCGCTCGAAGAGTACCTGTTACCCCATCCCGGCACAGGTGCACGGTTGATGCAATGTTAAGCACCAACAAGAGGAGTTTGTACCATTTTTCTCATGATTTGGTAGGGTTTCTATGTAATGTTACTGGAAGATAAAGGTGCGAGTTATTGCGAGTTATACTATACTATTGGGGTACATGTGTTCTTTTTCATTTTTTTTGGGCACATACCAAATGTTGCCTAGCGGTGAAATGGAAGTTTGAGTAGACAACCACCACAATATCAAGAAATTAACAGATTGGGAGGTCCTAATGTAAACCATGCGGTGAGTCTCGTTCATGGCCAGTTGGTTCATGGCAGTTAAACCAAGTAAGTGGTTGCTGAAGCTATCGAAGAAAACCGACGTGGCCATGGTTGCGAATAGCTATGGAATTCGCTGAAACCATCAAATCGGCTTCGCTTTCAAAATATTGGGACATTCCCCATTCCAAGAAAGATGATCATGTTTCAATCTGTCCTATCAAAATAGCGTTGATTTGGGGGCTATGCAGCTATGCACCCACTGTTGAGCCAACTCAAGTGGCTAGTGTTGGTTGTATATCCCATGATATTCCCATGATATTCCCATCATATCATAATAAAACGGTTACAGATTATCCCCATGAGTTATTATCCAATGATATTCCCATTTATCACCAACATCATTGCATTGTTTCACCCCTAGTGGGTTCATTTAGTTTCCCATTATTTCACCATACATTGGTCCCATTATGATATTGGTCCATTATTCATTCCCATGATGTTCTCATTCAAAATGGTTGGGGAACCCCATATTTCACCACATTAAATCATTATAAACCCACTGATATTCGCATGATATCACCATTCTTGTTATTGAAATCACTATAAAATCACCATAAAATCGTCATCTTCACCTCTTATTCCGTTGGAGGTAGCGCTGCGCCTGTTGGGCACTGGAGCTTGCGAAGCTGCGACGCATGCGCGCAACGTGCAGCACCCCGTGGGCTATGCAAAGCTCGGGACGGGGTTGATGGTTGGCCATGTCGAAGTGGGCGAAGTGGGCAACTTGGAAAGCCCCAAAACTTCAGAGATTTAATGGTGATATCATGGAGTATAATTTTAGATATCTTAATACTACCATTAATGGTGATCATTACCAGATGTTGGTGGGTATTTCATGGTGATCTTAAGATATCTAATAATTGCTGGAATCTAGTGAATCTAATGGGAATGTTATTGTGATTGAACCGACAAGAATGGTGATATCAGGTTTGGAACATTTTTTATTTTCCATCCTTCCCATTGACTAATATTTTTCAGATGGGTAGGTATACCACCAACCAGATGGGATATTCATGGGATTTTGCCCGGTCGATCTAGTGGTCGAAATATGGGGATCTAACTATTGATGGGGAACCCCCCGAGATCCAGTGGTCGATTCCATCGATGTTCCCGGGTTTATTTGATGGCAATGTGGGGAGAAAAAACCGGGAGAAAAAACCGGCATCGACCAAGCATACGGAGGTTACCAATCCCCGTTTTGAGATGTTTCTTGGCTGAGCTATATATCTATACATATACATATACATATACGTATATATACGTGGGATTTCATCAACAATCTAATTAATTGTGGTAGCACATTGAACGGGAATGGTCAAAAAATCATAGGCAGCTTGAAAAGAAGATCATGTTCACTATCTTCGCCTATTTTAGTTTTCAGGTCCACCCGTTTTTTTGATGTTTCGCCGAAAGGTCAGACCGATGGTTTTCTGAATGAAGATTATCTTCCTATGGGGATGGGCCCAAAACTGACCTATTGGAATCCTGGAATCAACATCCATAAATCGACCATTTGGGCACCAGCTCGGTTCTGAAGATCTAAGACTCTAAGAAATTCCTATCTTTGATGATGTGGCTACCCCTCTTGATTTTCATTGGCTGATGGCTGAAGAATCCCCCCATGTCAAGCACTGTTTGGTGCTTGAGATTTCCCCACAACTCGTAGATACTCGCAGTCTGGTACCACCATTGCAACAAAAACGCAGGAGTTTCTGCGTGCGATGCTTGCTCTGGCGGGACTTGGAAGGTCGCTCCGGGAAAAAAATCTGCGATTCATTGGGATATGGCTATTTTTCTTGTCGACTGGGGCCCTCCTGGAAAACAATTAACAATGAATCATCTGTTGATTCTATGTTGATCTTTGATCCTTCATGGGGGGTGTATATCGCATTCAGTTGGATTGCTGTGGTAGTTTCAGATCATGCCTGGTATGCTGGTATGGAAATAATCCCAGATGACCCCAGATGATGAGCTTCCTCAAAATTGCCATACTTTATTGGAGGATGATCATGATGTTCATTCCCAAAATTGACCTGGGGTTGTCTGAAAAAAGTGGTAAATCCCTCGGTAAATCATCATGTTCCCAACTAATTTAGCCATGGTTGGGTCACTATTTCCAGATACACCCAAGAATCACATTCTTGTATTACATATCCGAATAAATATCCCAACATATCCCATGATCTTCCCAAAAATCACCATATTTTGGGGCTCCTCCGGTGGATGGCCCAGGTCATCACTGCTCCATTTGTCAACGCTGCGTGGTGCACTTTGATCACCACTGTGGCGTCTTGGGACGTTGCATCGTCCGCCAAACCATGAAGTGTTTAGAGTCTCGGCGCGCAAACGGCGCTGGTTCGTAGCAAAAGTAAAATCCATACTGGATGCGGCCCTCGGGACCCGGGACCCCCAGTCGAGCTCGCGTTCGGTTGCCTGAAAAAAGTGGCTGGATTAACTCTGGTTTATGGTAGATATAACTATAGCACTATAGTTAATGGGGTTTATAAACCAACTTATAACTGGGGGGGCACCATCCTGTCGTATTTCAATGGGATATATGAATGGGAATCATATGAGATCTATCGCCATCTATAATCGTCTATAAATCTATGGTTGAACTGACCTCTGGTCATTTAGCTCTACGGAGAAAATCCAAGCAGCCTCTTTAGTATTCAAATCATCATCGACGATCATTTTCCATGGTATGAAACCGGCAAGGACTTGATTTTTCAAGTTTTTTGATGCTAGGCTTAGGACACTCCTGTCAGGTCGACCATTTAGCGCCAGCTTCCGAACCAAGCCACACCCAAAAAGGATCTATGGTGCCACGGGTGTTCTAATATTGTTTAACAAGAAAACCTCTTGAATTTTATGATCAAACTAACCAGAACACAAATACCCTCTGGCTATTTAACATAGCCATGGTATAGATGGCCCATACAAATAGATGCTTTACCTGTTAATAGCATGGTGATTTTCCATGGCAAACTGTCCGGTTCGGCGCCAAGTATCTGCTTCTGATCTCCGCCTTGCTCGGGATCTTCGCGGTGTGTCTCACCAACTCCTGGTGTTGATGCCGCATGGGCAGCAGATTTTTTGTCCACCTGGAAAAGGTGGAACATGTGTGGGGGGTAAGTAAATAATCAAATATGGTGTGCTGCAAAATCCACCATTTATGACATTTATGGATTATTTTTCTCAGCTCTTTTTAAGCATGCTCATGGGATTTGACTCAACGGTTTGGAGGTGTTTTCTGTCACTTTGGTGTACTTCTTGAAGCGACTTCAACAGGATGCGGAGGGGGTTCACAAGTCTACCTTGATGTTTGTCATGGTTTTCCTGCAGAAACCCAGGATGCGGATATGTCCATTAAAGAATGCAGGTGCCCCAAAGTAAAGAAACCAGTGGCAGGGTTGCTCTAACCTATAGAATATTATAGATACATCTTATTGCCACGAGGATGGTAAATTTCTGGAAATTGCTACTTTTCTCTCTTTATCAAGTTTACCCCCAAACGTTGGTGTTGGGAACTGTAGCTGTTGGCTTTGGGTATCCGGTGATCGTCATCCAGAGACTCAGGTCCTTTGCGGCACCCTGCGAGCTGCCCAAAGATCGGACTCGCAGCGCAAAAGTCACGTCCGTGGCGACACGAACAAAATATTCTTGTGCCATGAATGGACCATGGCCAATGGAAAAACGATGAAAATTGGCCGAATCAGGCTGCGGGATCTACAAATTATACCCATCATATTCTTACATCATACAAATCTAAGCTAAGTAGAGGGATAGCAGATAGACATAGATCCAAACTGATTTGAAGGTTTCCTAAGTCATAGGGCTACCCCCAAATCATCCATTTTTACCCATAGGATGTTCTATGAAATCAACCATAGCGAGCTGGGGGATCCCCAGTTACTTAGCCACTCCCTGGCCCCAAGGTCAGCCTGATGGAGAAAGTTCCAGGTCTGGAGCGACAGGTTCGGCCAAAGGATGTCCCGGGGCTGGTTGAAACGGCTGGAAATTGGTACCACCCAGGCAGTACACCGAGTTGGGAAGAGGAATAGGACTTCTGGTTGGTGGTTTGGAACATGAATTTTATGACTTTCCATATATAGGGAATAATCATCCCAACTCACTATCATATTTTTCAGAGGGGTTGAAACAACCAACCAGACTTCAGTTTGAGATGTGCACATCCAAAAGGTAAAGATGATTGATCATATCATGAAATAGCTCCTGACGAACCTTTGATCCCATGATTGCCATGGTCCTGTTGTTTTCGCTGAAACTGGCGGAACCATGTCAAAGATGGCATATGTTTGTCCCACTCTGACATGTCCGTGTTTCATTACGCTTCAGCCGCCCTTCAGGTAGTAGTCAACAGTCAAGCGGGCAAGTGCTTCTTCTCTGTTGACAATCGCTCAGGCGCGGCCGCAGGCCTTTTTTGGGTGAGGGAAACCCATGGGATTTCCCCAATGGCCTCACAAGGCACTGGCATTGCTGAGTTACGTGAAGCCATTGATCGTGAGGCGATGGCCATGGCCAGGGATGGAGTATGTGTTGACCCCTTGGGTCTAGTCCAGGGGTCTAAGCGTGCATAGTTTGACCATGTTTTATTAGTGTTATGTTTAAAAGGGTGTCAAACAGTCAAACACCATTTAAGTTGATATTTGGTGGTGAAATTGATCCAAGTGTTCCTATGTCCATGTGGTTTGTCCATTCGGGTGTCAACCCCATGTTTTTGCTTGGTGAAATCGGCTTTAAAAGGTGGGTTTAACCCCTCCAGAAGGTGATGCTGAATGGAGGAAACAGAAGGAAGATCTTAAACCCCCAAGAGTATCTTAAGATTGTCCATTTTTTTTTCAGAAGACCAATGGTTTAACCTATTGGATTGGATGGCTGAAGGTTGCAGAGTTAGCAGTTGCGTTGCGTTGTTGCTGACGTGACGCATGGCTGAGTCCTCTTCAACGAAATGAGCATCCGTACTCAGCCAGCATCCAGACGTCACTGTGTGCAGTGTCCCACAGTGTCACAAACCCAACGATCGCCTCCAGGGATTACTACGCAAGAACAATGCGAATTCCAGGATCCAATACATGGAGGTACGTTAGTACCATATGTTTGGCCATATTTTGTGGGGATATTCCCTGAAAATTAGGCCTAAAAAATAGTTCAAAAATATATGGAATCGGTACCTCCAATCAATCGGTTCCTGTTGCATGGCCATTGACAAGATGACCAAAATCGATTGCTCTTAGATGCTCTTAGGCTCTTGCATGCCGCAAAGCCCAGTGCAAATCTGTGGATTGCTGCCGTAGATTCAGATCGCCACCAAGGTGTGCATGACCCCTACCCTGATGGTCCACTTGTCGTACTACCGCGCACATTTTTTTACTCGTTCACTAATTGATAAATCCCCATCTGGGTATATTATAGAAAGTCAGTTGCCTACTACAATAATGCCAATGTTACATGGGAAAATATGTGAACACATCTAATGCTAACACTCCATCAGCCTATATTCGATGCTTAATGTCCGTTCTTAGCAATAAATCATCATCCAATCTTTCCTACTAAATCTTTCGATGCTATAGGATGGTATATTCGAATGATCCACTATCTACTTATCCCCACGCCAGTTACGGTCGCTGCACTGGGCTGCATTGGTTGTCTCGAGGCAACTGTGGCCTTAGCGCCCAATGGGCACTTCGCGCAAGAGCTGCCCTTGCCGTGGCTGAGGCCTGGAGCTGAATTCGAAGGACCGAAGACTGCAACCTCACTGGAATGATGGTGAAAGATGGTGATATGGAGGTATAATTCCAATGCCCAACTCTTCAGGTGAATCATATCATCCTATGCCCCAGCTGAATTTCAGCTTCGTGGCTTGAAAAACTTACCCAGATTGATGGTGATGGTGGTGATGTTCTTGCCTTAGCCGTGGCTACGGCTGTGTTATTTCATGATGATTTCCATGGATTCTGGCGAAATGATGACGAAAAACAAGGTCGCAACGTCACTAGAATGATGGGAATTGGATTGGGGTATCCCAAAATGCCCGAACTATTCAGGGCAATAGTAAATTGATAGTAAATTCTTATACTTTGCCCTGATTTTTGTGATGATTCACAGTGATGATGGTTTGAACATGATTATCTTGATTCTTATGTTCATAGATTATGATGTGTTTTTCATGTTTTTTGACAGCAGATGGTATTGTTACTATGTTTTATGCTAAACAATATGTATAACGTAAAAGTAGTAAACGTTAGAAAACAATGATAACCATGTTTATATTTGTTTTTGCCAGCTATAACCTCCATTTAATTCGGGATTGCCCAGCTTGGCATTTTTATTTCGATGAGTATGTTCCATTGAGTTCGATGGTTTTCTGGCTACATACTATTATAAACCTCTAGTTTGGAGGATTTCCCAGCTTGACATGTGTGATTCTTGTATTACCCTCTGGTTATGACTAACATAGCCATGGAAGCCATGGCCCATTTATAGATGTTTTTCCCATTAATACCTCTATTTATCAGGGATTTTCCATGGCTATGTTGAACAACCAGATGGTAAATCCCATGGAATCCCATTAAATCTAGAGTGTCCCTTGCATTTCCTATGAAAAACCACGGATCCTTATTGGAGATCCCCAGTAATGTGTAATGACACCGGGTAGATCTTCTTGCGAGGCTTCGTGAAGCCTTGGAAGATGCAGCAGAAGGTGTGATCATGCGGGCAGATGATGCAGTGAACATGGGGGATCAACCAACAATGGGATATTTGTGGTCTAAGCCACCTATTTTCACTCATCAAAAGGAGAAGTGATAGGATATAACCATCTATGGTTCAATATGTATGCTAGGCTTAACTAATAGACACCTTGGAGGTAGCCTTTTTTGGGGGAGAAATCCCCGTGTGTGAATGGGATTTTCCCATGTAAACATGGGTTTGACTAGTAGGATATGAATGGTAGGTTGAACTAATAGGATACTTATAGTATAAGCCACCTATTTTATGGTGATATAATGAATCTGTGAGGGAAAATGGGATATAGTGGGATATACCCTCCGGTGATCAAACCTAACAATGGAACTTATCTTATCCCATTTGGCTGGATAAGTTGCCCATTAAGAAGCCCATTTATTGGGGATATTCAATTGCCATGTGTGATTAATTACCAGAGGGTATACGGGATAGATTAACATACATGTCTAATTACATTTGCACTGTATGTTTACAAAGGCATTTTCTCAGTTTACATTCTAGATGTGATACACTAAAATTATACAGTGTTGGTCTAGATATACATACATGGGATGCTAATCATCAATATTGTTTGTTTTAAAGTAACAGATAATGAGGAATCACGTGGGTTTATATGACAACCTTCCAATGGGGTGGAATACATACGTATATTTGCATATGGGCTCTAATTACCAACAGTACATTGGCTGATAGTTTATACGGGTAATATATCATTCATATTGGTGATTGAAAATTTGCTATCTAAAGAAACTGATAATAGATAATGGGATATGATCCAGTATTTTTTTCCTTTGCGATGAATGAGGTGCAACCAGCAACAGTTTGTGGCCCCGTGTATTGTTTCTAATGATCAGAAGGAATGAGGGGTTCACTCGCAAAAAAATGTGAACTTGTTGTCTACGAGGTGGCAATAATCAGCACGCCTTCACACATCCAGGTTTGATGGTGGATTTGTTCATTCGCAGGTCCCATTTGTTGCTGGTGGTATTTTTGGCTGAGGTAAATTGGGGTCCAGCCACAAACTTTGTTTGTTCAGGTCAGACATTGGGTGTGAAAGTGGAGCATACGTGAGCAGCGCAGGAGACAGAAAGCAATAAGTCTGGGGCAGCTGCTGGACTTGAGGCAAGATGGTCACTCCTGTGTGGCAACTGTGTGGTAGCCATCACTTGTATGACAGTGCTCTTTGCAGCAACTTTTCGTCAAGGGGCGAAAAAGTGCAGAGTTTTGACTGCTGCAGCATGGCCACTGCGGAAGATGAGGCGATTTCTGATCCTCTCCGTGAGGGTTGCCAGACATTGCTGAATGCCTGGTTGCTTCTTCAACGGATGCTCGCTCTTTCATCCACAACGTTGGCAAATGGTTCTTCCAGCCTTGCGGGAGTGGTGCGCTTTCACAGCGTTCCATGGAATTGGCATGGCAGCCTTGGAATTGTCGGGGCAGCTGGAGGAGGCGCAGCTGAACTGACACAAAACGGTTCCATGAACAAATCCGTGAGACATTTGCGTCCGTGGTGGAGAGCGGGAAGCTGAAGGCGTCCCTACCACATGTGGTTGACACTGGGGTCTGTTACACTGGGTTCAGGCAGAGCGGCAAATTGCCGCGGAAGGGCCACCTACACCCCACTCAAAGCTAGTTATTTGATGCCAATTCTATAGGGAAAATGATGAGAAACGAAGAGGGGTCGGGTACCGCCCGGCAGGACAGCAGGATCCATTTCTGGTCGGGATAGATTGTGGCATTTCGTGTTAAATTTAGTCATGTATACAGTACATATAAGATACATACATATAAGATACATTATATATCGTTGTATGTACATATCTATATCGATCCATATGTATGTTCCAGCGTCATCTAAAATATGTTTGGTTTTATAACCCCATTGCTCTTGCCTAAATCCCCGTTGCCCAGTTAGAGGTATCCCATTCCAAGTCACCCAAGTAGGCAGCACGGGAGAAGAAAACGAGTTGCCGCCCTTCACCGCCACCTTTGTTCTCAGCTTGGTTGCTGGGCTGCGAGGGTCGGACGTGGGGCCGGAAATGAAGCAAAATGGGTTGCTCCGGAAATGGGTTGGTTACCTGGATTTCTAGTCATTTTGCTGGGAAAAGATTATGTTTTAAGTTTTTTTTTGTTTGGGTAGACCCTTTTTAGCATGGGAGAATGGGATAGAATCCATGGAGATAGCGGAATTGGGAGATTTTCATGAACCATGGATTAGTTGAAGTTCAGTAAACTCGCCGTGAAGGACTGCAGGGAATCCAAGCTCAGCCATTTTCCAGGGGAATATGAAGGATACAACCAACAAAGGAGTATGGAGATCGCAAACAATCATGGATGATTGAGGATTGGGGCACGTAATATGATTGATTGTGTCGTTTTTTTGTAGGAATCCGTGCTACAGGAACATATACTAGAGCACCATGCACGAATGGAATATAAGCAACAAATTCTGGTGGTAAAATGAGAGGGATGCAGCCAACATAGTGGAAACTTGCTCTACTGGTGGTCAAAAGCTGCGATTTTGACGGTCGAAAATCCCCTGGTTTCAGTCGCATTTTCCCGAAATCGCATCAAATCGTGGTATCAATTGGGCAGGGAACTGGTGCTGAAAACTGGATGGTTTCATAGTGATTTAATGCCAACAATGACTAGCCATTTGGTGGATCGAATGGTTTCTTTGATCTCTAAAAAAAAATCTTCAGCAGTTGGTTTCCTCCATCATCAAATATCCTAAGTGTATACCCATCATCAAACATCCTGTTTGTATAGTAAGTATATCCCATCATCTAATATCCTCTTTCTATATTATATTATACAGAAAGGATTTTATTATATGATATAGGATTACTATCATCCTTTCTTTGCAAAAAAAAATATCCTCTTTTCTATATCAGAAAGGATTTTTTTCAATATATGCTGACGATCAGCCAACCAATCACCTGGTCGTCAGGACTGATGGTCACCTCAATGGATCCAGTATCCATACTGAGCAGTGTCCACTGATGGAGTGTCAATCATGAAAATAAACCACAGAAAAAAAAAAACGATATATTTGTAGTCTGAGTCTAAGATATACTATCCCGGATTATTTCCAGAAGAGATCCAGCAATTTCTTGTTTATTTGTTGATGTTGTTGCTTGTTAATCTCCCCATCGCCGATGCAGCCGAGGCCAAAGTGCAACAGATGGGACAGGAGGTCATCGATGGGAACAAAGAACTGCTGGTTGGTGGTTTGGAACATTTTTATTTTTCCATATATATGGGAATAATGGTCCCAAGTGACTTTCATATTTTTCAGAGGGGTTGAAACCACCAACCAGCATAGACTTAATTTTAGATGGCATATATAGACTGTGATTCCATCATATGATCTATAGATTTAAAAAACATATGGATTTACCAATCAATCATAGTAGTACTTGAAAGTGCAGTTGGGATTATCTTTATGGCTACGACTTTGGGATTCTAACCTACATAAGTTGGGATATGGGGCCCTGGAACTATGATGAAATATAACCATTAGAACTGTACCACCCAAGGAGATGGTCACAACTAGATGTATACTTGAAGGTTCATATATGGTTTACTAAATAGACAGGCTATATGCTAAAGTAATTATGCAACTTACTATCTACTTAGTTGATTTAGGTATATTTTTCACAGATCTGGATGAACTACATAGATGAATTATTCCCAAATGGCCGTATGAGAAGAGCTATGTTCAGGCTAGTGAAGAAGTATATTGTTACAACAGCACAATATGTAGCTAAATATATGTACAATATGATTAAAACCAACCAACAGCTACATGATAATATTTCCAGTATGCCAGTGGCCCCGATGTCGTCCTACATGGCCAGTTTTATGTCGAAATCGTATGAGAATCGGCGGCTGTGGCTGCATTGCATGGGTCTTTCACCGTGTATTTTTTTGCTTCAAAAAGTACAATGTGGGGCCCAGTTATAGGTTTATAAACCCAACTAACTATAACGTAAGTATAAGTACCATAAACCACAGTGAAATTGGAGTTATGTGAACCCCAACCAGTCGCGATTTCGTGGCCTTAAGGGGGCCCCACGTTGTATGATAATAAGTATCAGCTGCATCCAATCACAATAAAACGGATCCAAGATGAAACACCCCATGGATTCCACAGTAGTGATATGTGGTGTTTCATCAGGCGGGCGTGGCTCCCGAGTCGCCGGAAAGCCCATTTTGATGATGGAAATTGAAGCAGTGAAAGTTACAACTCGAAATGGAGATTTGAGCATGAAAGACTAGGGATTTTAGCAATGAGGAAGTACACCCTTGAATCTAGACACATGCATTTTGATGGTGAAAACTAGGTTTGACACTGGGTTTGGGGTATGAAGCCTACTGTTGGACAAAACATGACAAGACTATATGTTTAATCTAGCTGAAATATATCGATTCAATGTCACTATAATTACTATAGATGATGGCTCGTAGAGTGCGTCATCTTAAGCCATCTAATTTCGGTTTGGTGATTTTTACAATTCAACAAAGATATAGTCATGTATAATATGGTAATTCCACGAATCGTCACTATAGTTTAAATGGCAATTTAGAGATGGTTTGTAGCGACGTTGACGAGTGTTTCAATTTTACCAGGAATTGGTTGTACTAACCATCAATAATTTCAGGGTCGTTTTTGGGCTTATCAGATTACCTCACTTGATGGTCTAGAAACATTTGGGAAACGATGCTTTAACCCAAAATTCGTTGTCCCCATGAGAGAATAGGATGGAACCAGCAATTTGTTTATTCAGAGCATGGGCGTTTCTGGACATGCAATCAACGATCCGTCAGGTCAACATGTCACAAGTCTTCCACCAACCAAGCTTGTTTTCCGTTTTGGAGTCTCCAGAAATTGAAGGAAGTCTAGTTACCCTCCAGCCCTCCAGCAATGAAATGTGACCTGCCGGTAAACCCCCTTTCTTTAGTTCGATGAATTCCCAGCGAACCAGACCTCGCTAGTTTGGGGATTTCCCACGTTTGATGACACCAGAGGCTATATCCCATTCATATCCCCATTATAACCTGATTGGTGGTTTGGAACATTTTTATTTTCTGTATATTGGGAATAATCATCCCAATTGACTAATATTTTTCAGAGGGGTTGAAACCGCCAACCAGTACCCATATGAAACCACCATTTTGGTTTGTGAAGTTTCTGTTGCAAACACCGCTGCGGCGAATTCCTTGGCAGACCGCGACCTGACGCCGCTCAGGTTGGTCGATTGTTTGAAATGCCTCCACGATTTTGGAAGCCGCTGTGGCTGCACCGGGCAGATTTTTGAGCTCAAAAACTTCGAAATTTGATCTGTTGTTCAGAGATTTCCCGAGGATTGTGATATTCCCCAAAAAAATAATCCCTTCCCCCTAATATTAACCTCCAAAAAAAATAATAAACACCTCAGGTAGTTTTTGTTATTAGGGGGGTATTTAATATTAGGGAACCCTAATAATAAATTTAAAGCCTTAATAGAAAAAAACACGTTTTTTTCGATTTTAAAATCAATCAAATTTCCTTTTTATAACGCAATTAAAATATTGCCAAAAATTGGATGTCGGAGCGGATCCTATTAATAAATTTAGAACGTTAATTTAAAAAAAAAAACTCTTTTGTTCGATTTCAAAATCAGTTCAATTTCTTTTTATAACGCAGTTAAAATATTGCCAAAAATTGGATTTCGAAGCGGATCCTATTAATAAATTTAAACCCTTAATTTAAAAAAAACGATTTTAAAATCAATTAAATTTCTTTTTATAACGCAATTACAATATTGCCAAAAATTGGATGTCGGAGCGGATCCTATTAATAAATTTAGAACGTTAATTTAAAAAAAAAAACTCTTTTGTTCGATTTCAAAATCAGTTCAATTTCTTTTTATAACGCAGTTAAAATATTGCCAAAAATTGGATTTCGAAGCGGATCCTATTAATAAATTTAAACCCTTAATTTAAAAAAAAACTATTTTTTTCGATTTCAAAATCAATTCAATGTCCTTTTATAACCCAATTAAAATATTGCCAAAAATTGGATTTCGAAGCTTCCCCCTAATATTAAATTAAAAATCATAACATAAAAACTAAATTTTTCACGGACCCAAATGATAAACACCCCGGGGCTAACTAGTTTTTATTATTAGGGGGTGAAACCCACATATGGCAGCTTTATTTTTAAATTGTTTTCTAAAGGGGATCAATAAAAAGTCCAATTGGCCAACCTGAGATTTTCCAAAATTAGAGATAGACCCTAGTTTTCATTATTTGGGGGGGTTAGTAATAGGGGGAAGGGATTATTGGTAAATGTCATCCCCGAACCAAAAAAAAACAACCATCGTTTATCAGCTATATCCACTGATGTCGCCAGATTTGGATGCTCAAAACCCCTATAAGAATATACTATTTTAGGTTTGAAGTAAGGCAGCTTAGGAACTGTGCAGCCACTCAGGCATCGTTTTTTTCGATGAAGATGAGCTACGAGACCATGTGGTGCGGCGAGGAATGGATTTGTGGTCTATATGGGGCTCTGTGCTACGCCCTTACTTGGGGTGCAGTTGTGATTATCAATGGTTAAGTATGGGATTCCTCCATAAAATTGGGATATAACCCCTACAACTATGGTTATATAACCACTTATAACTGGAACTGCAACCCCAAATAGATATCCAATAAGCATTACGTAGAGCATTTCAGCCATGCACTTCGCATTGGCTTGGGGTATGCCACATATGAACAGAACATCTTGGCACATACACAGGTGTGTCAGGTGTGTCCAAGAGGTTTAGGCCCCCCCAGGGCTTGCCTCCTATGGAGAAATCCATCTTTTTGGACCAAAATGGACATCTTCTGTGTGGATTTGCCTATGTTTTCCAACGGAGACGTAGAGACCAGCAGCCGTTTCGGTCAGGTACTGAATCCTCAATGGTTGGCTGATGCCATGGCATCTTGGACGGGCTTGGGAAAAGATGGACAATCCACTCGTCGGAAGATTCAATGTGTCCAATTTATGGAGCTTCTGTGTCAAGTCCATAGTTCTTAGAGCATCACTTACTTGGCGGCGAACTACCCACGGCTCGTAAGTGGGTTATAACCCCAGTTATAAATGGAATAAGTAGGGATTATCCACTTATCATTGGGGTGAACTAACCCACTTACGATTCGCGGGATGAGCCACCAAGTCGGCGCAAAAAAAATCGCCCCACGTTGTGTACCCCCAAAACTCGGGACATCAGTGGCCACACGATGGACTCCAAGGATGGTGAAGGTTGTTTTCCCCATGGGAAATCCGCTGGGGAAATCCGCTGTTGTTGTTTTATTTTTTGGAGCCCCTTCAACTCAGAAATCATCAAATCCAAGTTTAGCCCCAAGTTATGGCAATTTTGATGACGTCAGGGAGCCCTTTTGGTCCGTCAGAGTGGGACATGGGTCATTTTGGGTCCTTTCCTTTACCTCAAACTTGGTATATCCATAAGAAAATGTGTCCGTACAATGTGGGGCCCCCAGAACGATAGCTAAGTTGGTTAATAACTCTAATTACTATGGTTTATGGTACTTATAACGAACTAGTTACTGGGGCTTATAAATCAACGTTCACATCACTGGGGGGAGCCACGTTGTATCAAAGGCTCAAATTCACGAATTTTGCAGCCAGCCAATTTGTCGGAAGCACCATGAGATACCTGATATACTGCTGTTGATCACTAGATAGCTTCTATTCTCATGTGCCTTGGCATGTCTTGGATCTATCCCCAACTGTTTGCTTATATTTGAATCCACAATGAATCCCCAAAAAGTTCCAGCAGACAAAGAACGTTTGTTTTGTTGAACTTAAATTCACCATTTTTCAACTTCGAAAAATGTCCATTCGGAATCCCCAAAAATCCCACCAGTTCTGTTTCCTTTCTTGGCGCTTGCCTCAAGGCCCAAGTCTTGAACTGTCCGAGGGTGGTGTTGGGAGCTGAGCGAACACACGGCTCGTCACGGCTCGTGGGTGATATTACCCTGGTTGGAAATGGGAGTAGGGTTGGTCCACTCAAAAACTTACTGGTGCTAAACGCAGGGAATTTTCGAGAATGATCCATTTCATCACTAGTAATAATCATCCCAGCAACCCCCACAACCCATCCATTCGCTACGTAAAACGCACCAATAAGAAAAACTGGGGTGAGTTCTAACCCACGAGCCCGCGAGCCGCGGGATGAACCACCACCAAGTATGTAGGTTAAGGGAATATCCCCATATGGCCAAACATATGGCACTAACGTACCTCCATCTGAGGATCCTGAAATTCCCATGGATCAACAAAGTCATGCGGAAGTCGTCCAATGCCAACCCCGAGATCAACAAACCTCGAATGGCTGTTGAATTGGGGGCGGTACCAAATAAGTATCATAGTCTCACTATTTGGTACCCCTATAATTCATATAATATGATTTATTAATCCAGGGTTGACGTCGTATAAATGGGTATGTTATTCACTGCGGTTTTCCATTGCAAGGTTGGATTATATGCCATTGAATAATCCATTGGAGAACCGTTGAATTGAATATGATATCATTCGATGTGGTTTTCCATTATACTTCACTATATGCTAGATGATATATTGGAGGACAATCTATAGTGAAGTATCCCACCACCCACAACGCCAGTGGATACAAAGTGATGATTCAAGCAACCGTCAACCGTCAACCTAGCCTGACCGATTCGATGCTGAAGGAAGCTTTGTCGTAGGTTATCCAGCTTGGATGACTCCAGGAAATGTTGATGATTCTTCCAAGAGGATATAAATTGGGGGTTTACCCTCTGGTAAACTAACAGTTTGCTATTGAAAATGGCCATAGAAATAGTGGATTTACCCATTAATAGCATGGTGATGCATGGTGATTTTCCATAGTTATGTGGCTGTTTACCAGAGGGTATACCTAACTTAAAGGACTTCAGAATCTTGTTAGCAGATGAAATGCTGAGCGGCGGATCCTTGCCGATGCACCAGCTGGCTGACCGACGTGCTGACCTAGCCAGAGTCGTGGTTGGTTTTTCCAAAAACCCAGCGCGGCCCAGTTAACAGGTTTCATGGGTGGAAGCAGCGAGAAGTGTAGGGCGGCTTCTCCAAGAAAAAAAAGGCGGAAGACCCATTGTGGCTCCAGTTGACTGACACCTGCTGTCTCAACCTGGGCTTGCAACCTGTACCGAAAAGGGCTGAATTGTTGGAAGCCTGCATCCCCAAGGATTGTTGGAAGCCAATTTTAAGTGTCCTGTCAATCTGTTCCCAACGGCAATAGGCCACTGTTTCACCGTTTTTTGAGGCTGGAAAGAAAAACAGGAAATTATGTACCACCAGTTCTGTTTCGAGGTCGAACCTTCACCGTTGTTTCAGCATATTGGATTCTTATAGGTGCTACTCTCATTGCTATTATTACTACTATCATTTCTATAAGAACGATTGTTAGTACCGTTTCTGATGGTAATGGTAATAGTAGCAATTGGTATTAATAGTAACATGTCTGATTTGTTTACTACTCTATTACTAGTGGTGTGTATTCTTATTGCCATATCACTATCTTGCTATTGTTGATGATTATCCTTGCTGTAATGTAGTAGTATATGGCATTACTTTTTCAACATCTGGTTATTACTAGTGATATTTATTATTATTTCAATATGTTACAAAATGCTACAATATATATATATATATTACTATATATATATATATGCTACCATAGAGAAAACATTAGATTACTATATATACTATTATATCAATACAGCAATCGCCACCAACTTGGATCATGTCACTACCAGAGCACCAGTTGCCCAAGGCAAGGACACGTGGCGGCGGCCAAGCGTCTGCGAGAACGGGGTGAGCTGGAGGAGCGAAATCGTCACGAAACGGATGGGTGTCGAAAAGCCCAAAATGTGATGGGAGTTTGATGATAAAACCAATTTTATCTTATCTTAACTTATCTTATCTTATCCTATCTGTCTACCTATCTGTCTATCTGTCTGTCTATCTATCCATATGTATATATATATATATACAAAGATATATATGCCAGAAATGATACAGTATAGAAAACCATTTGGTCCATCCCATTCTATATAAGGTCACCATTTATGTTGAACGAGAACATAATCAAAGATAAATAAATAAATGGATTTACAACAGGTGCTTTGAATGGGGAAAGCATTTGGGGCTGTTCATAAACGGGATGGGCCCTAGTTATCTGGTTGTTGACGATTTTGATAGGGACATGATAAACCTTTGGTTTGGATTTTCTGGGTAAACTGTAGCAACAACAAAAGATGTTTTAAACATTGGAAAAACACATCTGTTGATATCAGGTGAACGAATTCTCTAAGAATTTTTAACTGCATGCTTGGTACAAATGTTCCACTTCCCAAGCAGCTGAATTTTCACCAAGCCAGGAGGATTTGTTGACACGCTGCCTTTGGAGGCAAAAAACGACGCGGGACCATGAGATATGGCGTTGGTGAAAATCGTGGGGAAAACCCATTCCATCCTCCATCCACTCCTTCATCATCTGGTCGGTGGTTTGGAACATGTTTTTCCATATATTGGGAATAATGAATAATCATCCCAATTGACGAACTCATATTTTTCAGAGGGGTAGGTATACCACCAACCAGTCATTTTTGCCAACTTGTCTTTGGGGGTATGCCATTTTTGTCAGACACGCCCATGTACATCTTGAAGTTTTTGAGGTTTCTGGTGATTTGATAGCTTGAAGGAACTCAGCAGCGAGCCTGTCATTTGGCCCACGGTAGAATCCATGGGACGGCATTAACGGGGTACACTCCTTAATAACTCAACATGTCAGGTGATTCAGACGGGAAAAAGGATTTGGTAAAGCGTAGATATGGGGTTGCCCCACAAAAAAGATGTAGACAATTCACAGATGATTTGCCTAGAGATTCCCCCATTCCATCATTCTGTTCCCATAGCGAACTGGGGAACTACGGAACTGGGATACCCATTGCCCCAATGTTGGAAAGATCCAGTCGTTTGGTTGCTTCTGTACGCATTGATTTCAGCATCCCTTGAAGCTGATAGACCCATGGATCATTCCAGATTTCCTCAGAGTTGCCGTATGTGTTGAAGATTTTGCAGGATTTCCGCACGGGCATATGTTGTTTCAGAAAATGGTTATGTGCTGCGAAAATCTCCGTTAAAAGTCCATCGATTTATCGAAGTTCATGGGCATCACTTGTGGTTTCGCTTCCAGTCATCGATATGGGGCCATGGGGGGTCTTTTTGCTGCGAAATTGCCTGAAATCACTGGGGGGGAAAAACACGATTTTCATGACCCTCTGGTAAACAAAAAGCGATGGAAAGATCCACCATTGTTCATGGGAAAATTCACTATTTACTATTTCTATGGTGATGTTCCAGTTCGTGATGTAACAATTTACCAGAGGGTAATCAGCGTTTCGTGAAGGTCCGTGAAGGTACCAGGCCATGCATGCTTCTGACCATAAGCATATGCCCGACTACACGGTTCGTCACCCTCACCTTCTGTCAGGCACCACAAGTTCCGGGAGTCTCCTGGCATCAACGGTTGGCCTTTTTTGAAGTTGTGTTGTAAACCCCAAAAAAGATAAAAACATCAGATCCAATTCCTAGAATAGTGATAAAATAATATGTTTCCTGTGGCTTTCGGGGTTACTGCGGATAAAACTCTGACCATTCTTGGGTAAATCATCATGCAGTTGATCTTAGTGTACTTGCAAGACGTTTGCTGTTGGGGAACCAAACCATCAAAAAATGGCCAAGATCAAGTTACTGCAATCTGGCTTTGCTTTAGCCAGGTAGTCTCTCAGTGGGTCTGGGCATTGGCACTTCCCGATGATGTTCATCCATTTGTATCCATGTGCTGTTAATTTTCCCATTAAACAAAGAAAAAACACCAAGAAAGGGACGAAAAAAAAAAATCTCAAAGCCGTTTGTAACGCGTGTATGTAAAATACACCGTATATGATCCATTTCAATCCATTGCAACCCATTATCTGCTTATAAATCCATGATTCACTTGTTGTTATCGATTTCCCATGTTACCATACAAATTGATTGGTGTGTTTTCAAACATTTGTATCTTTGAGATGATTCTCTCATGAGAACCATGAGAAATGGGAGAACTATCTAGGTTTTTTTACATATGGATTCCCTTTGAAAACATGGCTATCAAAGGTTTAGCAGTAGATTATCAGTAAATTTAGGGAAAAAATAAGTCAATTCATAAGTCCCCACTCTGATGGCGAAATGAACAGCTTCGACCCAGGAACCAGGCGGTGCTGCTTCGTATGTTGCATCGTTTTGACCTCCTGGTGCCGCTCACAACGCGACATGCGTTGCCGTCCAATGTGGTGCCTCCGGGAAGAGAGTGGGGCCTGAAACAAGCGGCAAAGATGTGGGAAAAGTGGGGAGACATCACGCAAAGAATGGCTTAGTATGAGAGTTGTTGCTCGGTTCAGAAGTTATGTAATGATCGCAAATTGGACTGGCACCAAGCAGCAAACTGGAGATAAGCCTATAAAGATTGGTGTTCAATTGACAATATCTGGTAATCAAACATGGAGGCTACTTGAAAACAACGTTTTTGTGAGCAACAAACCTAGCTGGCGCTTGTGATTTCCTGCACATTTCCGTTGTTCAAAACGATGTGGGGTGATCAACCACCAACCAGCTGGGGAAGCCATGACTTGTTCCCACAGCTGCTCGGCCACAAATCAGCAACCAGTTCTTCATTGCAATTGGAAGTCCCATCATTAAATTCTGCATTGCGATTCTTTTCCCGTTCAGAAGACAAGATGGCGAGTTGCCAACATCCATCAATGATAAATAGATGGTTTCCTTCATCCCCAGTTATCACCCTGAATATCAGCCCCAATGAACCACTGTATCACCATTAATCCCTTCCCCCATATTAAAGACCCCTCCAGAAACCATAGTTTATGTTGGGGATTTCCACATCCATGGAATTGCGGGTAAACTTAATATTGGACCGATGGGATCAACCACTATAATTATCACCAACAATCCAATTAACTCCATATGGTTGGTTGGTTTATGAACTATAATTAACTATAATATGTTTGAACACATATAGTATAATATAATATATGATTAACCTTATTTAACTGTAATATAGTTCATTAACTAACCATAATAACTATATATTATGAACTCAATATGCTTGGTTTATCCCTAGAATCTGAGTTCACCGAGGTGCCCAGCTTGCTCCCCTGTGCACCCCAGCAGCCCACCTTGCCTTTGACCAACGACAAGGCACGGGGACCCATGCAGTCAGCGCCATTTTTGGGCTTTCCAAGTCACCAATGACTTCAGAAGAGACGTGCTTCAGGATGTTCCCAGTTCCGTGGCTTGTCAGATCTGGGACTCGCTGTTTTTCGACTTTCACGGCCTGCTGTGTCGCCTGCTGTTCGGGAAGCCTGGAGGATCCGGATCTGGGATGCCGACGAGAGGAATCGTTGTCTGGGGGTCCTTAAGTCTAAAGCCAATACAGAATGGGCCCCCAAGATAGGTAAGATGGTTTATAACTAACCAACTGGGAATTTATGATACAGGTATGTCATATTGTTAGCTGAGTGTACAAGAATATACAAACAACTGGAGGATCCACTACAACAAACCACTGGGGCTGGCTCGTCGGTCATCGGAATCAGAAACGACCCCTCCGAGTCCTTGAAATGATCGCCGTTTCAGCATGTCAGCATGGTCGGTGAATAAGATCCCAGTTTTACAGTTTCTGATAGTTTTTCAATGGTCAAACCATAAGCCAGATGCAGATCTAATGAAAAACGCCTCTGTATCCCTTCTCCCAAGGGATGCCCCCAAAGAAAGGTGTCCATGTTTATGGCGGTTTAACATCCCATCCATCCGTTCAGAGTAAACACCCCCCATTGGTCCCGCGGTGGAAATCCCCTACTTGGTGGCGAACTACCCACGAATCGTGGGCTCGTGGGTTAGTTCACCCCAGTGATTTACATGGGATACGGAGCAGGTGAATCCATTCAAAAAACTGGGGTGAACTAACCCACGAGCCCACGATTCGTGGGATGAGCCACTATAATTTCTTGGGGGTGTTTCATATGGGGAAAGGGATTAGTAGTCACAAGATCAATCCCCCAGACCATGCGACGAAGTCCGAAGGGAAGTGACTGGCGCTGCATTTTGAGCTCAGAAAAGTCACCATGGCTGAACGAAGTCCAAAGGATGGCGGAAAGTGTCGTGCACACGTGTCCAACCACTGGGGTCGGCCCAAGTCCAGAACAAGGTGTCGAGCCTGAAATCTGAAATTGGCCGGGCAGGGACAAGAATCAGGGAACTTCTAAGCCCCATTCGGATTATAGAATGTCTTCATTCTCAATTTGGGTTCTGCCAACCCAGAAGGTCTTTGCAGGAAAAAACTAGTGATCTGGGTCATAAAATGTTGGTCATGGGATGCCCCTCAAAATGATGAGTGATCAACTCACCATGGACACAGCCGTAAACGGGGTTGATTAATCCAGGGTTGAGATTATATATGTTCAAGCTGCTAATCCCCTGGTTTTTATAACTGGCTGTAATTATTTTTCATGCTCCCCTAGTAGTTATCATTATCTATCATTATCTCCCCAATTAAACTCTCATTCATACTCTGGTAATTGACATCATTATTGGTAATGATCATAATTCTACAATCGTGTCACTATTAGTGCTAGTATCATCCCCACAAGTCTACCGAACTTGGGATGGCTCAAAACCTATGAAATACCATTGAAACTGGGGTGATGAACATCCATCAACACTATTTCGGGAAACCATGGGAAAACAAGAGGCCCGATGTAAATGGTCAGTCGCAAGTCGTATTGTTATATCCCCATGAAAATATCGCCCTTTTGAAAGATCATGATATCTACTCTAATTTGAATACTGAATAATGAATCATGCAAAGACCCCTATAATAGTTATCCCCCGAGAAGATTATTCCCCTGTTGAAAATGTATTCTTGTTATAACTATCCCAATGTTAGTTGGGTCTCATTCAGAATCATTATCCTTAACAGCAGCTATTATTATTTCTATGATCATTATTACTATTATTATCAGTCAACTTTGATTACTGGATATAATTGCGACTTTCTGCGGGTTCATCGCCTTGGCTACATCATGCGACATCCCTCAAGTTGGCTGCTGGACTTCCAGTGCTGACATGGCTAACATGGCTGAATTCTCCGGTTTTGTGAGCTCTAAAATGCGAGCAACTTTGCAGGTGTTTATTGATTGGTTTACCACATGATTGCTGTAATGTTTATTTATTTCTATTATCATTATCATTATTACTGTGGTTTCTATTATCACGATTTTCACGATGAGCCCCAAAATACACTAGTGCTATATCATGACTTCCCCCCGTTTATATCATTGGTGAGAGTATGTGCAAGTACGATTGATGTTGTTGGCATCATCACGACCATGGCACATATTTCTCATCCCCCAAAGTACGTCTCTCAATTTCCCAGGGAAAATTCATGTTTAGTTAGATGACTTACCTATGAAAATATGGTCATTATCCATAGCTGTGTTGCATTACTCCAGGGTACAAACTTGTTGGTTCTGAGCTTCACCAAATGGATTGTGTCTCCCCAATTTGATTGTACAATCGTACTTGGTGGTTCATCCCACGGCTCGTAAGTGGGTTATAACCCCAGTTATAGATGGGATAAGTAGGGTTAATCCACTTATAACTGGGGTTATAACCCACTTACTAAGTGGGATGAGCCACCAAGTATTGTCCCATATGTTTAGAAGTGCATATAGTTCACCATAGTTATAGCTGGTCTAACCCAACTTTTGGAGGTTATGCTATAGTTTTATTCATGCAGAACCCAAACTGCACTATATACAATCGTGCTATATTACAACCCCCCCTGTATATATTTGGTAAATATTTGGCAATAGTCATATGATTATCATGATTACTATTTATGAATATTGTTATTGGCACATATTATCATTACTGTGATTGCTAGTAATAATGCTTTATTTGTCTTATTCTTACTAATATGACTAAACCGCGGCACCTGATTTGATCCGCCGTTATCATTATTAACACTATTATTAACCAAATATATTATGACCAGAATTATCATTATATCACCATAATTGTTATTTTTGTCCCCAAATGACCCTTTATTGTTATCAGTATTACTATTTTATATCAACTTGTTACTGTTATTACTACTTATGATGATTATTGGCAGATAATTATAGCAATTATGATTCCACTATTATTATTCTATAACCATGTGTTATTAATACCATTCTTGTTAACCAAATATAGTATCACTATTTCTATTCTATAACAATAAATAACCAGATATTTTCACATGATCACCACTAGTATTCTTATTCTACAAATCCCAGTTATAAGTGGATTAGCCCGCTCCTTATCCCATGTACATCACTGGGGTGAAATAACCCACGAGCCCACGATTCGTGGCTAGTTCAACACCAATTGTTATGGTCCCCCAAATGGTGTCTCCCCAATTTCGAAGTCGCTCCGCACGTGACCTTGTCATCCTTGATCAGGCGATGACAACTCCCAGTCCATGTCAGATGGACTGCGCGACTGCGCCCCGATAGGGCGTGGATGTCACCAGAAAAAGATACGGGGACTTCCCATGGAGGTAGCCTCTGGTAATGACTAACATAACGAACTGGAAAATACGGTAACTATGGTTGATAGATGATAAATGATAACTCTGGTAATTTGTTACATCACGAAATGGAAAGATCCACCATAGATTTATAGTGAATTTTCCCATGAAACATGGTGGATTTTTCCATAGTTTTTTGTATGTTTACCAGAGGGTAGCCCAATTTTTAAATGGATGGTTTGTAATCGAAAATTCCAAGTGGGGACTTGACGATGCAACATCATGGTGGGCCAAGCAAAATGCGGGATTTAAGCCTGCAAACAAGCGGCTTTCACATGTTTTCACCAGCAAAAGTGGGGAGATTGACATCATATCATTCATAAAATCATGGTTTCTTCACGGCTGACTCGTTTTTTCGAAGGGTCGCATGATTCATTTTAACGGATGGCTCTGACCCTACGGCCTACGGGTTCTGTGGCAAATGATGTGCGATCTGGCAACAACATCAATGGTGTGTTTCGGATGTGGGAACTATGATAACTATGATGACTATGATAACTGTGATATGTTGCCGAACAATGTGAAAGATTGTGGATTTCACTAGCAATGGGGACACAAGTGGCCAAAGATGCAAGTATCGCCAAAGATTGGGAAATTTTCCAGTGATGGACTCTGAGTTCTGAATTTTCTGTGGATGCTTCTTTCCCCAATGGTTCGTCCACTGTTGAGGGAAGCTAATGGGAACGATTTGCAATTTGAAGGCCCTCCAGCAAATCTAGATGAGAAGCAGGTCATTAACCATGGTAAGTGGTTTGAACCCCTATGCTTACAGTAGGGATGGCTGCTATGCTATTTGGAATTGGTAAAGGCACCCTCCTGCTTCTGAGCTAGATTGCTGTTTTGACGCGCTACACATTGCCCAGTTTGGCAGTTGAAAATTCGCAGTGTGTGAAATGGTGATTGGTTTCCATGCAATATGGGGATTTCCTAAAATGGCGGTATGATTTTCCATTATTGGCCATCCATTTTGGTGTAAATATGATCCAGCAATGGGGGACAATGGCCTGCCAATTTAACCATCATGTCCTGCCACTTTTTGAAAGAAAAAGTTTGACACTCCTCGGGGGGAGGTCACTGTATCCTCATTGGTTTTTTCTCAGGTGTTGAAGCTGGGTACCCCGTTTCATACCAAGAATTGTCAGACTCAGCAATTCACTGAGTTCTTCCCCAAAGCCGTTGGTTGATGATGATATGGGCTTCTAATAAGAATCTTAAAGCCCATGCAAAAAAAAAAAACAATAATGGATTATGATGAATTGAAGATCACCATAGGATAATTGGGTTTGCATTAGTCTGCATTCTGCCCAAATTGAAGTCATCCTGCAACATGGAATGTCTCAAAAGTTTCGCTGAATCGATATACTTTTCCCACCTCAGCTACTATCGCAAAAAACCCGACGCATAGAGATGGGCGATAGTCTCGTCCTAGGGAAATCACTTCAGTTCTGAAGTGTCTCAACTTCAATGAAACAACCAGTTAATGATTCTTCAACACCCCTGTTGGTTGATTATTATATGCACCACTTCTACAAAGTGGGTCCCCAGTTGACGAAATCGCGAAGTTGGTGCAAATAACTATGGTTGAAGGTAGATATCGAACTAGTAAAGAAAAAGGGAGTTGTTAACCAATATTCACATCACTGGACACTGGGGGGCACCAGCTTGTAGATAAAGATTCAATATATAACCATCAATAATAAGATTATCTGGCTGGTGGTTTGGAACTTTTTTCCATTCGGTTGGGAATCATCATCCCAACTGACGAACTCACTCCATCATTTTTCAGAGGTGTAGGCTCAAGCACCAACCAGAGAATATCATAATTAACCATCATTAACCATATAATAACCATTACTATTAACCATTAACAGTATATTAATCATAGATTAACCACCAGCCAGTGTTTTTCTGTGGCCTAAAAATCCAAGATTTTTTCAGCAAATCCGCAGGACTCCTCCAGAATCCCTTTCCGCGGCGTCTTTCACAGGAGCCACGGTTGGGCTGAGAGGGGGGGCCACAAAAAGCTGGCGCCAACGGCGCCAACGACATCAAGACACTTTCGAGTATCCAAAAAATCCGAAAACAACGATTTATCTGGAGAAGTGGATAATAGGCATCATGGTTATAACCTGTTACAACACTTATAACTGGCTTGGCTGTAATTTTCAGCTGGTTCCACGCAAACAGTTGATGGGCGGAACCTCATCGAAGCGCATCATTTCGCATATATTTGGGAATGGTCATCAATCCATCAACCGGGATTCATGTGTATAATATATATAATATAATATATATAATATAATATATATATAATATGCATATACACACATATTATATCGATTATGTTCACATTCCTATGGCATGGGATGACCGCCGGATATACTGGTGGCCATTAGGCCATTGGACCCGCCGGCCCTGCCTTTCTTGTCTCAGGCATCCCTGTGCAGTGCATCCTTGTGCAGTGGGGCGGCCCAGGAATGTCATGGAAAGATCCACCATGTTTTCATGGGAAAATTCACGACATAAATCTATGGTGGATCTTTCCAGTTCGTGATGTAACAAATTACCAGAGTTATTATTCATCATTTATCAACCATAGTTACCATATTTTCCAGTTCGTTATATTAGTCATTACCAGAGGCTACCTCCATGGGAAGTCACCCAATAACACCCAATAAGTAAGTGGATACACCCAACAACACCCGGGTGAACAGAGTTGCTCCAACCCATTAGGAAATGACAGCAAGGGTACCCCCAAACGTGCTTTCTTCAATGGAGAAACTGATGATAAGCCATTGGATATGGGGTTACCATCTGTTTCAGGCAAACCCATGTATGGGATATGAACAGCCAAAATAGGTGAATCTATGAGATATACCTATGTCATGAATTAATTTTGGATGTGTATATGTGTATGTGTGTATGTGTGTATATGTGTATATGTGTATATGTATATGTATATATCTATTAGGTGATCCCATGTATATCCATCATTTAGGGCATATATTCCCCCCATTTCGTGGGTTACAATCACATTGGACCATAGGTGATCCTCATCTTAACAAGATATGCATATCCATCGATAACACGACATAAGACATCACCACAACTGTTTTGGTAAAATACCAGTGAACAACCATGATTTGGGGATGATATCCCTGTGAAAAAATGCTGGTTAAAGCCATATTTCATGGCAGAATCCCCACTAAAATCATCATAAGAGCCCCTTTATTCCCACAAAAAAAATATCATCATAGCAGTTTTCCTCAATCATCATTTCGGGATAGTACCCTCCAGTCAACCATGGCAATGGGTGATTGTCCAGCCAGTTTGATGACACCGGAGGGTATCTCCAATCATATTCCATCATATTCCATGGAATCCCATTAAATCCCTGTAAATCCCCACGCCCTACTTGTAGATGGACCATGCTAGAATGTATCATCTTGAAACTATCATCAAATCCCATTAAATCCCAGAAATACCTAAAAATGTGGGATTCAATCATCAAATCATCAACATGTTCTTAAAATAAGCTTCGGTGGTATCCCCAACAGCCGCAACTTTTTATTTTTACAAATCTGTCTGAAGCGTGCTGCGAAGCAAGCGCTGGAAACCCTGTTGAAGCTGTTGAACCTGACCTGGCCATGCACCAGAGATTCCCAAAACCTTCTCCGGGACCTTCTCTCTGCAACCTTCTCCGGAACCCGTTGAACCTGACTTGGCTTTGCACCAAGGCTTCCTGGAACCTTCTCCCGAACCCTGTTGAACTGACCTGGCTCTGCACCAAATCTCTGTTGAACCTGACCTGGCTCTGCATCAAAGGCTCCCGGAACCTTCTCCGAACCTTCTCCGGAACGCACCAAACCTCCTTCTCCGGAACCTCGTTGAACCTGACCCGGCGTCTGCACCAAAGCCTTCCAGACCTTCTCCGGAACCTTCGGAACCTTCTCCCGAACCTCGTTGAATCTGACCCGGCGTGCCAATAGCTATTCTGGGCTGAAGACCCCATTAGCGTACACCGTTGGGGAAAAAGCAGAGTGATACTATCCTAGAAATGCTTTTGTTGTGTGAAAAAAGCGCCCATTTCGACGGGTTAAAGAAATCACAGGCCGGAGCGAGCTGCGAGTTCCCAAAGAGACGCCGCCGATGCCCTCGGATCATGTGCCGTGGTGATTTAACGTGTTTCAGATGTTGAGAAGGGCACTGGAAACCCTGGTTTTACATGGTGATTTACTGGTTTTATATGGTTGTATGCGGTTTTATATGGTGAAAAGAGCAACATGAACACAGACATGTATAGAACATATATGTATGTATTTAACTTGAGTAGCTCTCTAAAGTAAGAAGGTGAAATTTGCCAAATTGTTTTGGACTTAGGCAGGTAAAAAGGTATGTTTCCCTTGGCAATTCTTGGATTTAGCAAGTGAAATGTGGATTTACCCATCATAAAATGATTGGCGCGCCATGCACAGGGCACTTTGCTGTTGGAAGCAACCCCGTAAAGTAGGTAGGACTTCAATTTTGGATGCCATATATTTAACAACCCGCTAGAATCAAAGTTCTCTAAAATCATGATAAATGACTTTTCTATCTCTTGTGGGATTGCTATAAAGTCAGTGGGAGAGGCCTGGTGGTGCTTTACTGGGAGGAAATGGCCAAAAACTGGTGGTGAATGTTGGCTGATGGGTTGTAATCTTGTGAGGAGAGGGGCTTTGATGTTTCGGGCGTCGAAAAACGTGGGAAGCATGTATGGCCGAAGGAAGTTTAGAAGTGAAACTTCCGACAATATGGACAGATGGAAAAGCAGAGGTGGGAAGAGTCAGAGAAGAAAAGAGAAGAGAAGAGAAGAGAAGAGAGGACAAGAGAAGAAGAGAGAAGATCAGAGAAGAGAAAGAATCAGAAGAAAGAAGATGCAGGTGCGCGAAAAGCTAGAAAAGTACCGATTCACTGTGTTTTTTCAATGATTTGTGGCTCCGGAGGGTCGAAAAGTAGGCTCGGTAAAGCGGCGGGTGCGGAGCCATCTGGCCAGATGAGAGATGAAAAATTGCACGCCGTTGTGGCGCGAAGCACATGTGGAAGTCACAATGTGCAGAACACGTCAGCTTCGGACCACTTTTGGAAGTTGTGGTTGTGATGGCAAAAAAGTGCACACCGTTGTGGCGCGAAGCACATTTCGAAGTCAAAATGTTAAAAACACCACATGTTCGGACACATCAACGCAGGATCACTTTCGGAAGTTGAGATGTCGAAAAAGTGCACGCTGCTGTGGCACCAAGCACATTTCCAAGTCAAAATGTACAAAACGCATCAGCTTCGGACCACTTTTGGAAATTGAGATGTCGAAAAAGTGCACGCTGTTTTGGCGTGAAGCACATTTCCAAGTCAAAATGCACAAACACACCATGCTGGGACCACTTTTGGACGTTCAGATGTCGTTTGGTGTGGCAGGTGCAAGGGATTCTGCACATTGTCAAAAGTGAGCAAAACGTGGAGTTTTTGAAGAGGACATTGGAAGAGGATCTGGAAAGATGCATTTTTGCGTGGCAGGCGCAGTACAATGTTACAAGAGACATGCTCATAACAGATATTAGGAGGTCTGGGCACTGATTTCCTGAGAGAGGTTGCTTTTTGGAGCATCAGATCTTCTGGTTTGCTAAGATGATTTTGCGTGACAGGCGCAGCACTTCGTATGACCTGGCATGACTTTTGCGTGGCAGGCGCAGCACTTTACACAGATGGAGTGGAAAAATCTCAAAACGCATTGGTACGAGGCCGTCAGCTCTGCACTCAACTTTCCATTTGTTTAAAGAAGTCTCGCAGAATTGCTTCGTTTTTGATGTTGTCAACTTCGAAAATTGAGGAAGTCTCTCAGAATTGCTTCGTTTTCAAACTTGCACAAAGACAGATAGATAATAGATAGATGGATGGATGGATGGATGGATGAAAGGATGGATAGATAGATTTCATTGATTGATTGATCGATAGATAGATAGATAGGTAGCTAGACAACTACAACTGCAAGTACCATTACAACCACACTACCCTACCACTACAACTACACATGCAAAAACAAATGTACTACGCTACAGTACACTAATTACACTACACTACACTAATTACACTACACCACTCTACTTACACTGCACTACACTAATTACAGCACACTACCTTACATTACACTACACTACGCTAATTACGTTACACTACACTACACCACAACTACAAGTACAACTACACTACACTACATTACGCAACACTACGCTACACTAGTTACACTACACGACATCTACAACTACAGCTACAGCTACAACTACAACATACTGCAGCTACAACTGCAACTTCAACTTCAACTACACTACAACTACAACTGCAACTTCAACTTCAACTACGCTTCAACCACAAGTACAACTTCAACTACAAATCATTTACACTTCAACTACACTTCAACTACAACAACTAAAGCAACTACGACCAACAACAACTACTACTACTACCACCACCACCACTACTACT